GGTGATAGGATGGCAGTGCAAAGGGTAACTAGATGCGGTATCTGCTAGAGTAGACAGGAGTAGACAAGAAGAACAGGAAGATATTGACACAACAGAGAAGAATGTAGTATATTGCAGCCGTAAGAAAAAAAAAGGGAGCCAAAAGTCGCCAAACTAGGGGCTAACTTTTAAATTAGTCTATCCCGACTCTGTGGACAGCCCTTTTTTTTTTTTTCTTCTTCTTATTCTCTTAATATTTCTGCTTCTTCTCGTCTTCTTCTTCTTCTTTTCCTTCCCCCCCTCCAAAAAAAAAGAGAGAGAGAGAGAGAGAGAGAGAGAGAAGCTAAAAAGAAAAAAAAAAGGCAAGCATCAAGACATCCACCGTCCGTCCGTTTTCTAACTTGTCATCCATCTCTTTTCTTCTTTCTTCAGAGTGGAAAAAAGAAAGGGAAAAGAAGAGCACCAAATAAGAAAAAAGGAAAAAGACCTGAAATATCAGCCTGGTTGTTCTTCTCCTTCTGGCTGCTCTTTTTTTTCCCTTTTCGCGGTGGAGTCGAAGTAAAAGCTGACCCAAACACGGCACAGACCACACTTATCTTTTGACGTCCTTTCTTCTTCTCCCAACCTCATCCCTTCATCTCTTCTTCTTCCTCCTCTTCTTCCTCTTCCCCCTCGCTCGTCTCTTCTCTTCTTCTCTTCGCTTCTTTTCTTATTCTCTTCTCTTTCTTCGTCTGTTTGCTCGTGGGTGGCTCTCCGTCCTTTTAGAGCCCCAAAAAGAAGGTAATCATCCCCGTTTCTTTGCCGTCTCTCCCTTTCTCTCATAGTGTTTCTTCTGTCTTTCCTTGCGTTGCTCTCTTGTCTTCTTCACCCTTTCCCCCCCCCCTTTCTTCTTCCTGTCGTCTCTTGGTTTTGTCGTTGTATTTATTTCCGGGTGGCTGGCGTTCTTTGTACTCTTCCGGACTGCGTCATTTCTTGCCAAAAATAATACCGATCTCCTTTTTTATTCTCTCTCACCGAGAACAAGAGAGAAGGAACTCGCATCGGTTCCTCACGATCAAAATCTCCTGGATATCCGGTATCTCCTCTTATACTTCTCCGTCATCGACTCCAACCGGTGTGCCCCATCAGGCTATCTCCGGAGGGGGATACGACAAGCCTCTACTCTCACCGCTCAAATCGGCTCCCCTCTCTACTATCTTTTTTAACGCCGTGAGAATCCACTATTCCGAAAGGCTGTGGTGTACCGCATCAACCTCCATCAGAGGAGGGGGAGTAATCCACTCCCTTTATCTGCAGAAAATCACCCGCTGTCAGCCCTCTCAGGAGTGACTTTTCGTTCGTCCTCTCTCGTAGACCTGCATACATCTACTCTTCGGCAAAGACAACAAAACCAAACATTCACATTGAGAGAGGAAGACAACCAAGAAAAAGAGAGAGATAGAAGGAAACTGCGAACAAACCGAAGAGAGACAGCATCTCCTGCCAGAATCCGTTTCTGGTGCTACGTGCTGCTCTCCAGTCACTTGATACCCTCCCCCCTTAAAAAAAAACGTTGGCCCGGTTCTGGCCGTCTTCTCGTCCGCTCGGTTCGCCTGTCCGCCTTTCTATCTACTTGCTTGAGCTGCCTGCCTGCCTGCCTGACTGCTGTTGCTACTACTCCTGCGTTGCCCTCCACGCCATTTCCATCACAGTCCACTACTATAGCCACTACCTTCGGCTGTGAAATTGACGTTCACTTGCTACTTGCTTGCCTGCCTCCTCGTTATTCACCTCCAAAGAAATAAAAAAGAAACCTGCCTTCGTTCGTGCCTTATTTCTCGACAGTTCTGTTTCTGACTTCTCCAAGATCCGTCATACGCCATACGCATACCCTCCTTCTCTCGCCTATAGGGCTATGCTAGGCCCACGAATCAGCAACTGCAGTTCTCCTTGTCGGTGTCGTGGCACTTGGGCCTGAGAAATTTTCAGATCAGATACAAACTTTACCACAAGTTACAAAAAAAGAAATAAAAAAAAAGAGGAAGAGTCACCGGAAGGGATCTTTTTTTTTTTTTTTTTTTTTGCATCTTGAAACGATTCCTGACCTAGCGACATCCCTGTCCCGGTCGTCCCGCCAGAGTTCGTTGCCGTTTCGATTGCTCTATCAACATTGGATCCTGCATCCTGCACCCATCCCTGTCTATTCCGTCACGGCTTACAGGCCTTCTCATACGCCGCCTGTCCATTTCCCATTTGCTTATTGCCGATTAGATATATATAAGCATAAGGCACTTCCCGTCTGATCCACTTGTCTTGCCTTTGCCTGCTTTCTCCAATCGAAACCGCGAAACGACAAATGTCAAACGACCCCGACCGTCAAGGACAGCAGCTTCCGCCGCCGCCACCTTGGAATACTTCCCAGTCTGACTATCCTTCTTCTCCCCAATATCCAGTCTGTCTCCCTTGAACCTCCTCTTGCTTTGATATATAGCTCATTCCCGCCGCTGCTGATCCTGTCCGTGTTTTACTTGCTTCTCTCTGGTCTTCTTTTTTTGTGCTTGCATTTGAAATTGTTCTTGTGTGTTCAGTTGTGGCTACTCTCTTTCTTTTGTGGTACTCCCTGCGCCTTTGCTAATCTATGCACGACTCAAGCCTTCCAACTCTCAATCTCCATATCAATACCCTCCAGCAGCCGGCGGAATGACTGCGATCCCGCAACAGCATCCGCAGCAGGACCCGTACCGACTACCTCACCCACATCCACATGCGGCTCCTTACCAACGCCCACCAGACATGTATGGTGCACCTCCACCTGGTCCACCACCGGTCGTCTATCAAGCGGCAGCCCCCAGACAACGAACAGCCATAGCTTGCCGATATTGTCGTCGGCGTAAGGTTAGCAGCTTTGTTCTCCATCTTCCCCATACATGCACTCAATCGTCTAACATTACATACACAGATTCGATGCTCTGGTTTTGACACATCCCAGGATGGTCGATGCAGTAACTGTGTCCGATTCAACCAGGAGTGCATGTTTACTCCAGTATCGTCCCAGGCACAAGCATTTGTGCCCGCACATACCGCTTATCCTCATCTTCGTGCTACCCAGGGTGGCAGAGGACGGCCTGGTGAAGGCGTAGTCCTATACGGTCCTCATGGACAGCCTCTGCCACATCAACCAATTACCCATGGCGCTCCAGAACAAACACTGCCACTCCCACCGGGCATGTACCCACCGCCCTACGGGAGACCTGACGATCGAACCGGTCTTCCGCCACATATGGCTCATCCACCGCCAATAATTCAGATCCGGTGAGTCGCAACGCCCCTTCACCGACGATGATTCTTCCTCCTATTCTTCCTCCATCCGCCAGCCATCCCACTTCTTCTTCAAATCTGCTCTCATACTCTTCTTCACAGCGTGCGCCTTCTCCTCGTCGTAACTCCGCAGGTGGGCCTGAGTACGGCGAGCCACCAACTTTGCCTCCCGTCTCCGTGGCCACTGCTGGTCCGAGTTATGCAGTCCATCCTGCACCCGCACCCGGGCCTTACTACGGTACAAACCAACAAGACCGACGTCTATCCTCTCATTCGTCTTACTCGTACGATCCATCCCAGGGCACCCCTCCACGTGCAGGTGCCCATACTCCAACCACCAATGCCCATCTGCCAACACTTCAGCCCCTGCATAACGCACCTTCGATTCCACCAGCCAGAGAAGGCGGCCCGACCCCACCGCCGGGACAACCCGCCATCCCAGGACGAAGTGGACTTAGCGTACGTGATATGCTAGGGCCCCCCGAAGGTCAACGCACCCGCACCACAACTGATAGCGACATGCTCAATGCTCTCAATCGGGGAGGGTTGAATAAATAATTTCACTCCAGCGTGAAGACTGGGGGTATTCCAGTGCAGAACAAATCATAACGGCCATGGTGAATGGGAGAAAAAGAAGGGCTACAGGATCTAATTCTAATAATATTCATGGGAGTTGGAGAATATATCTTTCTCTTCGTCGATCGATGGAAATACATCCTTCACGTGCCGGTCACGAGAGGGCTACTCATTTTATAAGCGGCCAAATACTATAAAAAGGAGCATCAACATACATACATACAGGTTACGAACGTGCACGGCAATGTTGAAAATGCACGTATATCAGGCTTTGGCCTACAATACTTTTGTTGGGAAAAACAACAGTAAACACCGACCCTAGAAGGCCAGATTTTCATACCCTAGCCATACTTTCGGCACTTCGCGTTACCATGGAACTCCTGAGGCTTATCCCTACTCAATACCAACATTTTGTTTATTGTCAATACGTTGCATCGCGTTACGCCACGTCTACCTGCTTATTGCTACTTTATCCGCCCGCACCCTGAGGAACGTCATGTTCTCTTATTCTCTTTCTCCCACCATCACTAGATTTCTACGCTCTGGAAAACATCATCAGCATCACTTTCAATTGCAAACAACCTGATTTCGTCGGCTTGTTATTCCCTTAAATCCTACCTCGTGCGTTCTGCTTGCTCTGTTTCTGGAATTCCATTCGCGAAAAAGTCTTATACATTACAAGGGGCAACCCATTAATCATCATCATTATCACACTCGCCATCGCCTTCGTTAGGCAAATATCACACCGACATGATCGATGGCTTGAACTTTCTCCATTACATATATCTATGTGGCTTGCTTTGTCTTTTGTTTCGTTTTATGTGAGCTGGTTTTTTTTTCATGTTCCAGCGACTATTTTTCATGGCTGATGAGTTCCTTTATTCTTTCCGGTCATATCGGATTACTGGGAAATATCGACATCATGACGGTGGGCGGGGGCTATTCTGAGCTTTTATATTGTTTTCACCAGTTTTGTTTCTCTGGCTTTTTTGAGTGCGTTCATGTATCAATCATTTCTGTTCTTTTCCCTATTCACCTTTCCGGTTGGCAATCTCGCATACGTTTATATCCCACATATACAACACTACACGTCGATTTCCCGCAGGACCACCATTCTTTTCTCACGCAAGCACGGCTACTTTGGCATGGAGCGTATGGAACGGTACAGCATGGTGCAATCTATTCATCTACAACTTCGATCCATCGGGTTTACGATAAACAACCAAAAAAATTACAACAAAAAAAAGAGTGGGAAGAGAGAGGATGAGATAACGTTGGGCGGCTATCTGCTGTTTTTTTATCTTTTTCAGTCTTTCGTGTTTCGTTGAGTGCGGTCCCCGTTGGCTTTTGTTTATTTAGCTGCATATTATATCCTTGCTTGGGTGGGTGGTATTCTGAGCCTTTTTGTTGCTTTTGTACTTTGTTCTCCATGTCCTCCTACTACCCTATTCAATTCCCCTTGTCTGGTCATATCCCTTCCCTTGAGAGTCCGTTTGACCAAGTAGTGTTCTTTAATCTTTGCTTTGATAGCTGAATTTGACTGACCAGCGGAGAGAGAAGTAGCAAGCCCTTCTCTCTCGCCATAACTATAAACCGTACTCTTTCCCATCCGTCTATCCCTGCTGTCTTTTTTTTTTTTTTTTTGTGCATGTGGTAGACGAGATATGCTACACTACTGTTGCCATTAATTAATACCCACCGTCTACAAGGCTGCCGTTCTATATACTTCCGGCAGTGTGCACGGGTTTATATATAGCGTGGCACAGGTCGGATGGCATGTGGGCCATGTGGAAAGACGGATGTGTTCCGCATACATGGAGCTCCAAGGATCGATCGATAATAGAGCCGTGCAGATATAGACATAATTCAGCCACGTCAAGTGCTCCATTACGGGAGCGATGGGAAAAGAAAAATTGTGGGGATAGACTAGTTCATATAATACATATTACAACCAACTTAACTACAGTAGAAGATAAAAAATATGGGGGGCAAAGAAGAGTTATCAAGAAAGACAGGGCTATCAAATAGTAAAAAAGAAGGGAGAGAAGAAAAAAAAAGGGGTGTGTCGTAGGATGTAAATTTGTCCAGGAAGCCAACTCGAACAAAAAAGAAAGTATCATGCCAACAGATAGCAAGAAAAGAGAAGTCAGATAAAAAAAGAATGAAAAATTGAAACCAAATTCAAAAGAGACTGATTTGGATCATTGCTCAAACAAAAAGAAAGGGATGATTTTTGACGTTGCATTCAGAAACCCAATCGTTCGATTCTCCAAGATGTCAGAGGGAGGAAAAGAGGCGCCTCGGAAGCTTAAGAGAGGACTTTGATCATTTTCTTGGCTCGACGGGAATCTTGAACGAGGTAATTTCGTTGTTTGAGGACCATTCTAAGCGTCTGCACCACTTTGTAGAATGACGATGATGCACCTTGATCGTGACGGAGGCGAACGAGACTGAGGTTTGCGTGCCGTCCATGCTCAAGAACGGAGAAGAACTCGGCCGAAAACTGAACGGGTCGAAGGCGAAGAACTAAATTGATGAATTGTAAGTTAGTTAGAATCCATCCATCCCATGATATCCATCTATTATAGAAATTTGCTTAGGGTTTGAGAAAGTGGTTTTTTTCTCCTTCGACTTACAGTTCAGCTCCCCCACAGATCCGCAGATAATGTCGTTTTGGTTATCTAGGTGGAGACCCTCAAGGCCATATTTCTTCCATTCTTTAAAGATTTTGATTATTTCCTTCTTTGCCGGGGGTTTGGATATGTTGAGGGCAAGGACCTTTGAGGCAAGCTTCATGAGCAAGATCTTGGAGAACCAAGCATTAGTATACCCGGTGGTTAGAGGGATGTCATCACTATTCCTGCGAATAGGGGTTGTAGCAGCGGTACTATCGTCTTCTAGCTCGATACCGCTGTCGTTTGGTTTGCTGTCAACGTCACTGATGGTGCTTGAAATGTCTGTTTCGTCAGCGTCATCTGTAAGTTTGTGGATATGGTCGTCCGATTTCTTTCTTTTGAAGAGATTCCTAAGCCGACTGCCTCCGGCTGTTGCTCTCAGATCCTTGAAGTGCTGTTCGATATTTCCCAAGGTGGATTTCTTTCGATCATCCTGCATTCGATCAAGGATGTCTGTAAATGCCTTATCTTTAGTCTCATCTGCTTCAGTCGAGGTATTGCTATTTTGGCGATACTTCAACCACGTCCACTTCTTGGTCTCTCTTGAGCTCCGGGTTGCGCTACTTCTAGCAGATTTTGGATCCTCCTCAATCGAATCCAGGCCTGAGTCGTGCCTGGCTATAACGCCTCTAGGAGATACAGCATTACCTTCATTACGGCCATTAGAGTGGTATCCCGAAAGTCCGAAAGAGCTAACCCCACAGTCCAAGGCAGGCAACTCCGCTATATGCTGCTTTCGAATGGTCAGCGGTTTCACGAAATCGAGGTTGCTCTTCACGGAGTCGCTCTTCACAACTCGAATAGATTTCTTGGTGTCCCAGTTTCCTAAATCCAAACCCAATGGTTTAGTCATTTCATGCGGCGGAAGGAATGCCTGAGGTTCTATTTCAAGATGGTTCTCTTCGGAAATAACTGGGAGTCGCCCAGTAGGCTCTCGGGCTACAAGGGTTTGTTTGGTTATTGGCTTATTGGCTGAATTTGTAGTCTCGTCATCGATGAGGCGGTCCAGATGAGCAATAACATTTTTGAGGTAGTCTGGTAATCCGTTCGCACCGGCTTGCGCTGAGTGTTCTATTAGTCGACGTCGGGCCTCGGCCAGCTCTAGGGCCGCATATGTGCGAGGCGATTCCTGAGGTTGGTTGGGCAGTAAGTCATTCACAGCTTCTACCTTTGGCTCTGGACCTTCATTGCTTGATATCGACGACATTGAAGTTGAAGAAGTGTCCGATGGTTCCTTGCTTCCTGAGTCCTTTGTCATGGATGATGAGTCGGACACTTGGTTGAAGGCTTCTTCACATAGCTTTTCAAGTTCTGCTGATACTTTTCTTGTATCTTCTCTCCATGACAACCTAGCCTTGGATAATGCCACACCATCCCGGTGAGTGGAATCTCTACGCTTACGTGCTGTAAGAGGCGCCGTAAGAAGAGAAGTCTGTTCAATGGGATCCGACGTTTGCTCCTGGAGTTTCTTAGCTGTTTCTGAAGCGATTGGCCTACTTGGGCATAGCGAATATTGAGATTTTGAAGTAGACGTTCGGTTCCTAGCCGGAGTATGGTTGCTTGAAGAGTTATGCAGGTGCCTAAAGCTGACATTCCGCCTATATCCAATATGCTTAGGGCTTGTTGTACGGCAGCGTGAGCTTTCTATTGAACTGTAGGACCGAAAAGATCCTAACGAGGTTTTCTGTGATTCGAAACCTTGCATGACACTATATGATGAGGGGGGACCGGGTGTCAACACCCGATTTTTCGATGGTTGCTGTACAGAATTCGGTGACGGAGAGGGGATAGAGTTGGTGAGTCCAGTTGGCCGCCGATGTATTGTGACATTAGCATATTCGGCTCGGGGGTTTGGAGTTGGTGTTTGCGAGGATCGGTATGGGTCGTATGTCGAGATAGTGTCCAGAGAAGATGGCTCTCGGTGGGGGAAATTCTTTACAGAAGATCTTCCCCCGGCAAGGGAAAATCTAGAACCCTTCCATGACTGATGTGGAGTAAATATGCCCGTTGCATGGGCGGCTGGGGCATGATGGTAATCACTGCTAGAGTGTTTGAGTGGCAGCTCCCCCGAGGCTTCCAGTTGCGCAGCTCTGAAGTTTTGTAAAATCTGGTAGAACACTTTCTCGTGGTTACTCCTATTCATAACCGTGTTAGATAGATGTACTTAACATGGAATCGTAAGACTTACTCGTTGTTAAGCAATTTTCTAATCAACTCTTCTGAATCTACTGCATGCCAAAGGGTCTGCAGGCCTCGTAGTATTTCCATATCGATGTCTTGGCGCCCACTGGCAACTTTCCCGTACATCTTCAAAGGGAAAGGCGGAGCAGGGCCAATAGCCAACTCATTTTTTAGGAGAGGATTATTCTCATATTTTTTCAAGAGTGGGTGTTCCCACATATCCGTAATAGTTATCCTATCCCCTGGCTCCTTCTGAAGGATGCATTGAACCAAGTCTATCGCTTCATCGCTCAGCCAAGGGGGGAGTATGTACTCTCCTCTCTTAACAAGCTTAAGCGTGTTTCGCAGGTCACCTCCGTCAAATGGTAGAAACCCACATAAGAGAGCATAAAGAATAATCCCGCAGCTCCAAATGTCAGCTTTATCACCACGATATGGTTTGCCGTGGATTATTTCAGGTGAGGCGTAGTGAGGGCTACCGCATGATGTGTTTAGCAGATGGCCTTCGGGCTGTAGGGCTGCCATTCCAAAGTCGGCTAACTTAACGTTAAGGAAGCCGTCAAGCAGAATGTTTTCAGGCTTGAGATCTCGGTGACAGATGTTGAACCTATGGCAGTAAGAGACAGCTGAAATAATTTGTCTAAATAGCCGGACAGCCTCAATTTCAGGTAGTGGTCCATGTTCAGAGATGTATTCGAATAATTCCCCTCCTTCAACATACTCGAGAACGAGGTATCTTGAGAACACAAATCAGCATCTTGAACATTTAAAGCGCATTTTTTTAAAAAAAAAAAAAATTTTGTAGAAATCAACTTACAGTTCACCCCTATTTTCCCATACATCAAAGAGACCGATCACGTTTGGATGCTGAATGAGTTTCATAATAACAACTTCCCTCTCAATCCCACAAGGTATTGCTCTAGGCTCATTGGAGATTCCAGGAATCTTCGTTATCTTATCCATGGCCATGATGCTTTGGCTTTGTACCATAGCTGCAAAACGCTTTGATACGATCTTGATGGCTGCAGATTGGCCAGTTACAGCGTGCTTTGCAAGCCGCACCCGCCCTGTCGATCCCTTGCCAAGAGTCCTTCCTAGCTGCCATGGCCCAATATGAGTCTTGCGTCGAGACTTTGTGGATGCTGTCGAGGCTGTTGAGATCGTCGAGTTACGGTTTGAGCTCGGCTGGGCTTCAATGACTGCTGATATCCGTTTATTTTCCACCGGCGTGAACGTTAGTTCCGTGGTCTCATGTTCTTTGAAGTCTATACCGGCATAATTGAGCTTCTCTAGGGATGGAGATAACGTAACAGGACGCGAACGCTGTAGGCTTGGGTGAGCCATATTTGCACGGTTCTGTGCATCACCGAATGGTTGTCTCAGCTGCAGGCTGCAGCTGCTCATTAAGTTTGCTTCCATAGGACTAGTTAATTCATATTAGCAGTTGCCGTAGAGTAACAGAGATGCATAGGTAGAAGGGATTGTGAATTTAATTCGAAGATATGCAGTCTTCGTGATTATAAACACTAGTCACTAATAACGCGTGACTCGGGTGAAGAAAGTATGGAAGTGATGAACACACTTCTGATAGCAACGCGCCTGTTAGGTTTCCACTAATAGAAAGCGTGTGCCGACCCCAGAGCTTGAGAAAAGTCTGCATAGCCCCTTTGGTAAAAAGTGTGACCGTAGCCAAGTAGGATTGAACATCATAGCTAGCTAATAGACGACGTGATGTGAAGGGTATGGGAGCGTCTGCCAAAGAGTTGGTAAATAAGGGCATACGTACCAGTTCAATTGGATATCAACAGGGATAACGAATGCCTTCAATGAGGTTGACACTTTAAAATAAAGATTAGCCGTGAGGCTAGTTTAAGAAGAGAGTTGGTTGAGGGACTTGAGGATATCTCAACGGAGAATTCCAAACAAACGGCCGGCAAAATGACTTTTGAGGGAGTGGACAAGGTGAAATGCTATAATAGCAAGTCCACAGCTCCAACTGGTCTTATTTGTCTTAAAGAAATCAAAAACAGTAGCACCCCGTAGTTTTCAGCAGAACTCTAGTTCCAACGAATCTTATACTTAACATTTTTCTGTCCAAATGGGATGTATGAACGGTAGAGAAAGCATATGCAGAAGGTGCAGGACACTAACGGTAGTACATGTATAAAAGTTCAGAGATAGATTCTAACGTTCCTGAAGATATAAAGAAATAAGCGGGGTTGGAGTGAGCGGTAAGAGACAAAGGTTCGATTCAGTCTATAAAAATGGCTGAATCGTGACTGCTGTCAACAAATAAGATCTACAGAAATAAAAGAAACAGGAGGTAGACAAGATGCAACCGCATCCTGCCATCCCTCTTAGCCAACTGGGAGACCAATTCCCAATTTTTTTTGATGGCAGGGTGGCCGGGAAGTCCAAGCAACATCGGAATCCATGGGAGTACGCGAGGGAGGTGCCTGTGGCTTTCCGGTAGCACACAAGGCGTACAGCATATGCAAAGCGGAACACGAGCGTTTTTGCTTGTTCTTTGTCCGAGGGAAAACAGACGATCCTGTGGCCAAGCGTGGTGATACAGACAGGTCCAAAATCTGAACTATCTAGCATCGCCAGCATTGTCCAACACGGCAGCCTGGTTTACATAGCTCGCCAACGTTGGACGGTGTGTTCGTCTGATGGCGCTGTTAGGTACGATACCAAGGAGAAGAAAAAGCTGGGTGTTCGAAAGTTGAAGTTGAAGTTGAAGTTGCCCAAAGCGGACGCAGGTACCAGCAGGCGGAGCTCTGATTATCCGTTCCGCCTTCAGCCTCCTTTTAAGGTTGTTTAATTATCTTTTATTCCAAGGTCAAGCAATTCCCTGGCAAGAGAACAGGCAATAAATATCAACGTTAATAGAGCAATATTTCATTTATGATTTTCTTCCAACACTTCGTACTCCATTCGCAAGCTGGTCTTTGCTTTTTCTCCCTCTCTTTTTTCCCTGTCTAGACTTGCCGTCTCTTCTGACGACTATGAAGTAAACTATTACATGCATCTGCAGCTCACTGGGGCCACCAGCAACCTCGGAATGGCTGTTTCTAGCGAAAATTACCTATGGACGGAACATTGAATGCAGGCTTCCAGGTTACGATAATGAACTGGGATTCAGCCGTCTTGCGAACAGTCTGGGTTCACTCTGTAACAGGCGATCGATATAACCTGTCTACTTCCTCCAGCCACCTCATCTGGACAATACCATATATTAATTACCAGATCTTGCCAGTATTTTCTCTTCTCACAAAGAGCCTGAATAAAACTGCTTCTACCCTTCGTGAAATTGATCGACGAAGACCCTTGTTCCCGGGATTTTCGGCGGACCTGCAGTCATGCAGCCGCAAACTAGGGAACCAATTACTCTATCCTTTTTTCTACGCATTCGGGCATCAGCTGCAAAATTTGCATTGACATGTCATCCGTACCATTTTTGTGCATGAAGCGGAAGTACGTACTGCGTACGGAGTATAAGTCCTGCACGCCATTGTCAACCCTCCCGCACCGGGAGTGATCGACCCAATCATACACTCTTCGGATCGCGTCTTTGATATTATCCCAGCCTTTAAAACGGATAGGCTTAACGCACAGCACACTTGATCGGGTTCTATTATGCGAACCGTTTTAACCGAGGTCGTGCAAAGCGTCGAGTTGTCGGGATCGCCTTTTCTGCACTTGACTTTTTCTCTCCCTTCTTACAGGGGCGGGTTGCTATACCGATAACGCAGTGTTCCAAGCTTCCGTTATCAACTTGCCATGCAGAGTTCTTGAACAGTAATTCAAGCTTCTTGGTCTAACTAATGGCTTGGCTTAATCCTTTTTTCTTTTTTTTTTTTTTTCTGTTGCCGCCATGGAGGTGAGATGAACAGAGGGAGTTTAGAGTAGAGATAACTTGAGTATTAGATTCTTAACACCCGAAGAGTAAGTTGTCATGCGACAGGTTGCCTTAAACATGGTCTAAACCTTCCTCCCCTAAACCCAGTGGATAGGAGCATCTACCAGCAAAATCACTTGCGGCAGCTTCAATTCCATAAACATACGAAGCACAGAGTATCCAGTTGTTAATCTAAACATAAAATGTTCATCAACTCTTGTTTTACAAACAACGTGGTTCTTCTCGTTTGTAGCACCGGGATATAACAAAGGGTATGACCTGAATGCCGCTACCCATGAAACAACACCCTTCATTTTCCAATTGCCGAAAATGGTACTGTGAGAAGCCGTAAGACAAAGCTCCCCTTTAATATCTGAGTGTAGCAGCCGTTAGAAAAATGCAGTACAAGCTATTCCGTAGAACGTAAGAGATAGTACACGATTGACCAGAGCTACATATTAAACTAGGATATACCGATAACTGTAACACATGCAACATTATTCCGCTTAAACTGCATAGCAAGATGTATTCCGTATTTCTTACCATACTTGCTGTACGTATGAATCCGTCGAACGGAATAAACGTTTAACTCTCTCTTGATGGTGGCCAAGTTTTTGCTGTGACTCACACCACAGCCGTCTCCACCGCGCGTTGAAAGGAGATTCTTCCAATGATAATGGCCCCATTTACATGAACAACTTTTACCCGTCTATATACTTTGTCCAGTTAGTCTTATGCATCAATCAAAGCATGTTGGCGCAGCGGAAGCGCGCCGGGCTCATAACCCGGAGGGCCTTGGATCGAAACCAAGACATGCTAGGATATGTTTTTGATCATGAGAGGTACAGCCTAAATTTTTTTATTATTATTTTTTCCGTACCTATGCACTTCGATCTCCAGACTTGCTAAATACTAACCTCTTAGAGGCATTTTCATTCAATCATGCTCATGTTCGACATGTCGTCTCTATTCCAATCTATCCATCTAATGTTAAGATAGGGTGTCTCAAAGGTGACTCACTACAGCCTGTTCTCTGAGCGTCTCCGTTACCATACGGTGAACATCTTCTGCTATCCCCCAGCTGGTCTCAAAGCCTCGACCTCCGATACCATAAGCGTGGACGATACTTCTCTTGTCGGAGAGTGTTTCGACCTCCAAACGCATACCGCCTTCTCGTGCAGGACGGCGGCCAACGACATCCCTGATGACGTCGAATCCCCCATTTGAGTTCATAATACAAGGATACATCTTTGCTGCTCTCTGAAGTAGACCCTCTCTGACCGCTAGTAAAGCCGCAGGGTTCCAGTCACGTACCTCCTTCGTGCCACCGACAATAGTCCCACCGTTTAAAGGTCGAGGAACAATAAAAGTCCATGTTCCATCTGCGTTTTGTTGTGTCACCGTTTTATCAGCAGTCTTTGCGATAAGGCAAGTTTGACCTATAAGAGACGTTAGAGCTCATCATTCCAGAATAGACGGTCTGATTTTGGAGTCGTACCTCTGATTATGAATGATTTTGGGTCTCCAAAACCCATACCACTACAGTTAACCACAAGCGAGACGTTGTAGTCGTCCAGATGGAAGGCTTCTTCGGCAGACTGAAGTCTCAGGCGTAGGATTTTACCCCCTTTCAGCCTGAAGCGACGCAGAAGATGAAAGCAGTAAGTGTCAGGTTCAACGGTAAAAGAGTCGTACCTGGCGGCGAACTCCACGCCCGGTGGTTTCTCAGGGCCTTCCAGTAACCGGAATCCTTCTTGGTTCACGTAATTTGGTTTCATAGCTGCATAGTTCACAGTGGCAGCACCAGACACATAGTCAATGCCCTCCATAAACTGGATACCGATTGCCGGCTCTTCAGCAGCAAGCTTTTTGAAACGTGAGTAGGTTCTTGCAGCATGTTTCCCTTCTAGTTCTGTCTGGGTATCTATGGCAGGAACGGGACGGAAGTGAGCTCCAGCATTGGTGGTTGAGTACTCAGGGTTTGGGGGGTCCGTTGAGAAGTGGTCTGCCACAAGCACTATCTGGTATTTAGAAGTTTCAGGCTTCTGGATCAATTCCAAGGCAGATGAAAGGCCCAGGACTCCGGCACTTTTGATAAACCCAACGTTAATGACGAACTAGCTTAAGAACATGTATATCGGGGAACTCACCCGATCACAACTATGGTTTCCTGTCCACGACGCGACATCTTGGTGTAAGACTACCTTTCTGGCATTCGAGGTGGATATAACAATTCTGGTATACCAGTGAATGATGCTACAGAGAAGCTGGGGGGGTGTTATATATATTATAGGTTTACGTGCCCCAACACGAGAGCGAGTGGGGCCTTTCCATCCAAAAGCCGCTGCGGTTTAATAGCAGACCTGGGGTTCACTTCGGGGGTTTCTCTTCCGTGTGCGGAGTGTTCAATTCAGGTTGATATTCGGAGAAATGAAGCTGTAGAACTTTGTTAGAGGGGCCTGTTACAAATGATATGCTTGTATTCGATCCTGTCAGTTTCATAACGGAAAATTATTGTCCGTCTATATAAAAAATCCACAGCTTGAATTGAATGGAAGGCAGAAAGAGCTCGAGGCAGACCTAGATATCTATCGATATCGACGCCCTTCGAGCTACAAGGCAAGGATCTAGTTAATAAAAACCTTTCTATTGCGTTGGAAATATATCATCTGACTACCGGTTAGTCAAGTAGAAGTCAGTTATAATTGCAGGCCACAGACAAGACAGTAACACCTTAACTGGTCATTCTATGTTTATAGCTTATATCCAATCTATAGTGTTTATATTATGTTTATATTGTTACTACCACGCATTTATTATTATCATCATCTCCATTAATGTAATAATTAAAGGCGTTTCGTCCGAGCTTTTCCATTGCATTTACTACTTTCTATGGATATCATTGGTGGATAATGTTTCTTTTTGAAATAAATTCTCTGATTCGCTGGACAAGGAGGTAAGTAACTATATATCTCACGTGATATCAAACTAGTGGACAATATTATGTCATCTGATTCTCTTAACCTCAAAAGTCGCTGAAGGTTGCGGTTGATAGCGAAGCAGCAATATCAGAACCAAAAGCAATTGGTGCTTCCTTGATATCTCTGCGCATTGCCCTATTTCAATTGTCGTATAACTTCTTTACTGCCTTATAGTGGCCCTTTTCTAGGGACCCGTGACGCATACCAGGTGATTCCACTCCCGCTGCCGAAAATTAAATAAACAACAACTAGCCGCTCAACGTCGTCTAGTTTGCCCAAGATAGAATTCATTGCTGACTTGGAGAAGCCATGGGAGCAGGCGCTTCGAAACCAGCGGACTCGGAGAAGACGAGAAAACATGTGTTCACCAGGTCCGTACCACGGCAGTGACCCTGCGAATTCTTCCATGTTTTATAACCGCTGGAGCAATCCTGGATTGTTGTTTATCTATGAGCGGATATATCATTGAGGCCTCTTTGTTAACGATCTAATGAAATTAGTGACTCACCTGTACAATTCTCCCAAGGCCTTGTTGACTCGCTACAGTCAAGCTCCGAGGTAATGATAATCCGCCCACCAGTTTTACCAAATATTAATCCGACCGGATTGGCTAAATGGAATCCATCAAAACCCGTCAAAACAGACCGATTCCTCGCGCTCTCAATCTCTAGAGCTTCATATCCAAGCCCGCGTTGCCGAAGAGCTGAACCGTATCCGCGCACGAGAAAGACAAACTCTAGCAGACATTGAGAAGAGAATAGCGGCTTCATATCCATCCGAGGCACCCTCCACAACCAAAACTAACACTTCGCCTTTCGCTAACCAACCTCTATCTCTCGAGTCTCCCCGAGTCCCATTTGCTGGCACCGAATTTGACCACGCTCCTGCTGTTCCGACGCCTGCAGAAACCAATGACGATGCCGCTGCCTCAAACCCCAAAATCGTAAGCAGCGGAAAGGTTGCAAAGGAAATTGAGGCACTGCGGGAGTCTCTTGCATCCAGGCCTACGATCCGGAAACTAGACCCCGAGCTTGAAAGTGCGAGGGAAGGTGTTGTGAAATGCCTACGTGATAACCAGAAAAGACCATTGGACTGTTGGCAAGAGGTGGACACTTTCAAGCGTGAGGTTGCTAGGCTAGAAAAGGAGTGGGTTCAAAAAATGATAAGCTGAGAGAGCTATGTAACCAATTTGGGAGGGAGCCCGGGGGTGTACTTTGGAAGAGGATCAAGCTTGGGGAAGAAAAACACTACTGTAACGTCATCATTAGAGAGTTTTCCTAGCATGTGTACTATAGAAACAGCAGGGGGAAATAGGAGATGCGCATAAACTACTTCCTTCTTTGTCCACGCGAGTCCGGGTGTATCATATAGTTGTTTATATATTTATATACAGTGGGTTTGGGGGAATTGACGAAATGGCCCTAGGCAACTTCCCACCATCCTAGCCTTCCAACATTCTCCCCAGCAGCTCTAATAATACAAACCTTCATAAGCTTATCCTCTCCGGCTAGCCGACAGCCTTTGCCGGCTGGAGGAACATCAGAGTCAACTGGGGGCGAGTAAGGACACATTTTATTAACCAATATTGCACCAATCCCTGTTCCTTTGCCTGCGGCGAGATTAAAATTCCCTGAGGTCACAAAACCCAACAGGTCCTCTTCTTGCGGCATTGGCAAATGCACTGATGATTTAGAGGCACTCTTAGACTTCTTGGATGGCTGCTTAGACTCGTCTAATAAGGAGAGCCACTTTGACCTGAGCTCAGGGTCTAAGGTAGGGAGACGGTATATTCGTGAGCGTTTTGTGGGAGTCCCTCTGTTTAAAAGGGTTATAACAACAGTTGCAAGAGCAGGAGTCTCAAGTAGGGATTGCATAGAGGCAGGAAGCCGTTCAGATTTAGCCTTATGGGAGATGACTGCAGAAGCCATTGATGGATCAAGTTGCCGCAGAGCTGGGGGCGTTATTACTGACACCTTAGTCTTTTCGGAGCTGTTTGGCTGCTTATCTCCATCCACTGCTTTAACCTCATCATTTTGCTTCTTCTTCTCCTTCCTCTTCTTCATTGGCTGTTTTTCCTTCTTTTCCTCTTTTGGTTTCTCATCGACTTCCCCTTCGCTCGCGACTAGCGTGTCAGGCCCCGAAACTAGGCGCTCCCAGTCACACGCCCAGCCTTGACCAATCTCACCCTTCTTGCCTGTCCCCAGGTTGAGACTGTTATATTCAACCCTCTTTGACTTTGGCTTACGTTCCCAGGCTTCCTTCTCTCGTGATCGCTCGCGAGCTTCCCACTCCCACCCAGCTTTGGTTCCCGGGAAATCGCCAGGAAACCATGGCTGCTTCGACTCAAATGCAAGCTGCTGTTGCTCCTGAATGCCACCGAAACGTGGATTACCTCCAGACGAAAGCGGGTAGAACAGTAAGTAATACCACACAGGAGTGACACATTTCCAGGGTAGTAGAACGGTCCAGGAACCTTGAGAGTTGGAATTTTTTGAGGAAGAATTGGTTGCGAGAAGGAGTATGGGAATTTTGGGGTCACCTGGTTTTGGGGGAACACTCTCTCCTGGTGCAGCTTGAGATTTTCTCCGGTTAATGGCCTTTTGGGACGGTAGCTGCCAACAAGCCTTGCGTCTAGCAAGCTGGGAAAATAAGTCTGGGGGTGATTTCTGAGTTGAATCTGGCTTCCATAAAGATAATGTTTCCATTAGTTTAGTATGACTTTCCTCTGATGTAGGGATCTTGATAGTTTTTGGAGGGAAACGAAGACGTGGATCAGTAATGTTGAATGCAAGCAGCGCATTTTGAGGTAAAGCGGCCGAATTCGTTAGCCCAGCCAGAGACTGCCATATACATTCGGGTGAGCCGTCTGGCCACACCTCAGCGCCATCAGGGAGAGCAGGCTTCAAAGTGCCTAGCAAGGCCTCAGTCGCACCAGGTCCCGAGACTTCTATGCTCCCTATTTCAAAACGAAGGTCTTCAACCATAACTTGGGGCTTCTGGATTTTGGAAACCTTCAAGAGTTCCTCCCAGAGCTGCAAGAAAGCAGACGGGTGAACTCTTAGGAACATTCGCCGTCGTGGCTCTTTGCCCTTCTGCTGTCTCTTTGGCACAGCATCCGCATCAACCATATCAATATCTTCGGCCCGTTTAGCAGGACACCAAATGAGCCGAACCGGGGCAATCGGGTGTTTTTGCCCATCCCTTTCGAAGACCCAAGCCTGCAAGCTCTGAGTCCCGTTCCTCCATTTCCCCCCACTGTTTCCCCATGCGTTTTGGCCATCCACGCCTAACGCTCGTAAGAGGCTTTCTAGGCTAGCATATGTTCCTTCAAGACTAATCGTTGACATATAGCTCATATCCCATGCAATTGCACCTCTAGCTCCGCTAGTACGATGCGTTATCCGATAGCATTTCTCCGTGGGCGTCAACGGAATCGCAAATCTCCATAACGGGGCTTTTGGCTCCGTAAGACGTGCACGCTTTGCATGAAACATATGGGTCGGTAACCAGGTCTTGCAGATTTGACGTTTTCTGAATTTAGACAGCGGTTTCTGCGGATGAGAGAGCTTGTTCTTCTTGATTTTGGGAACGCGGGGAGCAATTTCGGCGTTATGACCAGCATAGTTGGGGGACTCCTTTAGCTTAGCCTCTGCTGCAGCTTGTCTTCTCGCTTTTGAGCGAGCGTTAAGACCCTGAAGTCGACGAGCACTTTCAAGTCTGAGTCGCATTAACTCGGTTGGTTTTCTTCGTCGTGCCGTAACAGTCGGTGTATTATCTTCTACCATCTACATATCAATAAATAATTAGTATACTGTATTATAGATAACGATCGTACGAGAGAAGCACATACCTCGCGCTTCGCTCGAGCTCGCAATCGCCGCGGTACACGCTTCACATTATGACTAGCAGTCCTCCGTCTGAGGCTCTTAGGCACTTGCTGAAAGGCACGTGTCATAGAAGCATGTTTCGACTTCCTAATTCCCGCCTCCAGAGCACGAATTTCAAATTGTCTAGCAGCTACAAAGGCTGCAACATCAAGCTCCCCTGTTTTCGAGAGAGCCGTGTCGGAGCTCTGAACGGCCAGAGTACGAGCATCCTGTATCTTGACTCGCTTACGGTTGATAGATGAGGACGGATCCCATGCGCCTTTGCGCTTGCCGGGTCCGTTTGAGGACATTGCCTCTAGATATTAAAGTGATAAAGCCAACCTACAAGTCTCAATGTTTTTTTGTATTTTGATATTCGAGAAAGTCAAAAAGAAAATGCGTGAGTTCCATATTTGGACTAGCGCGTTGTTATCTTGATAAGATTAAGTTTATCTATAGATTACTTAATCGAGACCCTTTTTCTAATTTTAATGTTCAATTTGAAAAAGAAAAGGTTGAGATTTATCAATCCTTCTATGAAACAGGGACTAAACCCTGAAAAGTCGTTGATATCATTGCTAAATTCATAATCTAGGCACACTGGGCTATATAAGCCAGGACTCCTAACTCAAATCTAGATTCACCCCCCCGGGCTCTAGTGCGATCGATCTATTACCTACAAGCTGGCAAGGACGGCTTCGGCACTGGAAACCTGTCGTAACGCCTGATTAGTCGACGATATACCCCATGCTGAGGTCTGAAACAAACTTACAGAGAGAGCAGGGGGAGAAGCCTCCTTCTCGGCATATGTGACCTTGCCGTGGTCGATAACGATGGCGTAACGGGCAGTGCGGTCATCGTGAACGGTCCATCCCAAGGACTTGGAGAACTTGGAGCCAGAGTCACTGAGGAAGAGCTATATACAGATGAAAGATGGATATCGTCAGACACGTTCGTGGTGCGCATATTCAGGCAGAAGGAAAGCTTACGATGTCATCACCAGTAACGTTGTTGGCCTTTCCCCAGGCACTCATGACGAAGGGATCGTTGTATGCGATGAAAGCAACGATATCGACGCCCTTAGCCTTCAACTCGGACAGCTTGGCAATGAAACCAGGGAGATGGTTGACAGTGCAAGTTGGGGTGAAAGCACCTATCCACGAGCGTGTTAGCTGGCAGGAATTCATGGCCTCTATGTTATTATTATAGGAGCAAACACGGATGGCAGCAGCATACCTGGGACGGCAACGAGGACGACCTTCTTGTCAGCCCAGAGCTTGGAGGCTTCGTATGTCTGAGGGGTGCCGCAGGCACAAAATTCCTTCTTCTCCTCAGTCCATGGGATGTATCTGTTGAAATATAGCCCTTGGTTAGCCTAGCCACGTATGCCACAGCTGAGTATCTGGCCATCAGACCCAGCCTCACTGTATAGACACGCCCAGAGGGTCCAAGGGATAAGGACATACCCAAAGGTGACATCCGTTGGGAAAGAGTCTCCGGGCTTCAATGCAGACATTGTGAACTGGTTTACGAGGTCAGTGTGATCTAGACAATAATGGACGATGGAAATCGGGTCGAAAGATGCGTTGTCGAGAGGAAGATCAGAATAAACAAGAAGGTCGACGCTGGCCTATTTATCATCGTCCCTCCCGGCTGCCGCCCCTTGCCCCACCAAGCCCGCCCGCCGTCGTTTGATGACATAAACACTGCCGCTTCCCGGTGCCGGTGACGAAAGCGACTCCAAGGTCTGCATCGTACGATTCGGTTTATCATGGCATTATCTACACTGAAACACGTTTTATATATACTTGATGGATGTGAATCCGTCTATCAGTCGCTGGCTAGGGCTGTTAAGTAGTAGATGACACCTCAATTTCTCAATTCATAACTCCATAAGATGTTTTATGTATGCAGATGATAGACGATAAGCAGCGATATTTTAAAACACTTCCTTAACCTTGCAGCGTTTGAGATATCTTCTTGGCCACCAGGGCTCCTAGTGCTGCTCCTACACCACTGCCGTCCTTCGCGATCCCGATCCGAATCTTCTTCTCTCCTTCCGGTCCGATGGCTGGTATTTCACGAAACGCCTCCCGAATATACCCCTCAAAACCGGGGTAGTGCTCGATCAGGCTGCCATCGACACCGATATCAACCACCTCATCCGTTGCAAGTCGACCACTGGAGATAACGATGGCGCCAAGCGCCATTGCCCCCAGTCGTGCTGCACGTTTACCAATAGAGTGTGCAAGGTACTTGACAGCCTGGCAGTCACTGGTACTGACGTCGGTGACGTTGAGATCTTTTTGTATCTGCTCCTTTGTGACCTGTAACCCTTCCGAGTTGTCCCCTTCGATGATACTCAGGATGCTGGCATCAATTGCCCAAGCTTGATATAGGATCGAGTTTTTGTCAATAGTAGCTGGGCTGCCAAACAGGCTTACAGACGGATTCTCCACCATCGACAGAATGGCGAGACGGAGGATTTCCCCCAAGAACATGCCAGAAATCCGCTTCTCGAACATCTGGATCCCAGGGTTGACGGTCTCGTTATCAAGCTGGATATCAAATTCCGTATTTGGCAATACCTTGAGAGCATTGTCGAAACTGCCCCACTCGGCATTTATGACCATCTCTGGAGCTGACTTGTTATACGCATCGCTGCTGCACTTGTCCATTTTCGTGACACGCGGCATCTTCTCGACGTATGCTCCGTTGGTCCCTGTCCCAAAAATAGCGCCTATCAATGTCGTTGAGCTTCCGGGAGAACAATATGATCTAGCCATCAGCGTTCCCACGGTATCGTTGATGAGTGCTGCAACCCGAACGGGCAGCTTGAGCTCGTCAATCGCGGTCTGTAATAGCTTACAGATGTCCTGGCCGATAACTTCGGGAATATCAAATCCCTTCGTCCATCGATACAGTTCACCTTTATTGATTCCATGCTGGATAACCGGGAAACTAAAGGTAAACCCCAAATCAAAGACGTGCTCTTCCGCATATTTCTCTTTCACCTCGCCAGTCTGTCTTTTCTCAATATGAGAGCTGAATTGTTCCGAATGGTGTTCTCGTAGGAAAGACTCGATTTGCTTCGCTAAAAAAGTGAATAGTTCTGCTCCATGCTCAGCAACCATCAGCTCTCTCGGAATGGCTGCTTTGGATTGTGTCATCGAATGGGTGGAGTTTCCATGCAGGTTGACGGAACAGACCCTGAGGTTGGTGCCACCAAGATCGACTGCTAGATATACACCCTACAGATTAAACAACATACCGCATTAGCATCAGCCCTCACCCTTTAGGTGACAGAATACCGTACCTTCTCAGTTCCATCGGGCACTGAAGTGATGTAGGAGGGGATTTGGCTCAATCCTGCACCCTCGCGTGACAATCCCACCTCCATTTCACGCAGAAACTCCTCCACTCCTTTATTGAGCTCCTCCGGGGAGTACTCGAACCCCGCGGAAATCCTCTTGGCTTCATCTAGGACCGCCGAAGCCATCTTCGAAGGACAGATGGAAAAGATCTGTTCCGGATCAAGTAGTCCTTGTAGATACGGGCTTTCGCACCACTGACGCAGGTATTCGGGCGGTGTCTGTGTCTTGGACACACTGCTGTGGTGGGAGGCGAGAAAGTAAAGTAAGGGCGACGACGTCAGAAACGACACGCGGGGGAGGCTCGGACCGTCTCCGGAAAAAGTAGGGATAGACGTGAGGATTGTATGTATTATTATGAGTATTATTGGTAGGGCAAAGTAGTGAAGTGACGAACTTAAGAAGTTATATATCGAGGGTTTTTTCTCTGCGGGGAGGCTCACGCCAGCAACGGTCGATTTGGAACTACTCGCAGGTTAAAAAAGAGAGAGAAATAAGACAAGGCCTGGCGTCTGTGGAAAGCAAAACTAACGACTGGCATGTCTCGTGAAGCCCAGAAACCTGGTTCATGTGAAGGATGTCTGTGGTGTGGAGGCCAGCGGTCATAGAGAGGTATTATTATCAGCCAGAGTTCAGGGTTGGCGGACCCCGACGCTGTCCCGTGGAATTGTCCAAAGTGAAATCTGATGGCGAGAAAGAAGGGATTGGCTGCGATTCTGAATGAACAGAAGCTAAATCGCTCTGTCTGATGCGGTTGTTGGCAATGGACGCATTCGATTTGATGGGTTCAACTAGTTGTCAAGATGGGTTTCCGGAGAGGAGGAAGAAAAAGCCCCCAGTTCGCCCAGCTTCGAAGTAGGAGAAAAGTGTGACGTTGCAGGAAGCGATTGAGTTGGTTACATTCCAGGGTGGAGGAGATCGAGAAATAGCTCCACGATATTATCTTAACTCGATGATATTGAATAATAATAATATCGTCATATATTATTGAAGCCTAGTTGTCAATATTGAAGGCCCACATATATTTCTTTGGAGCTTTATACATTGCTGCAATGTCGAACTGCAGATAGATCTTATTGATATTGCCCGGGACGGGATACAAGAACGTCCCTGTGTACATAGTATGTTTATAGCCATGACAGGCCGAGTGAGATGACGAAGAGTCCAACGACAGCAGGCATGTATTAACCACACTGTGCAGGTTCTGACTCCTTGTCATATCCGTGTAAGCCCCCATCAAGAATCCACTGCTCGTTGTCGTCGTTGTCGTCTTGAACTCGCCTCCAGGTCTGCTTCTGCTCCCTTCTTCGCACCGGAAGTGTGTTACTGCCTTCACCGGACGGTTTCCACGTCGGTCTAACTAAGCCGGCGCCCTTTAACAGCGGGTTGTTGGAGAAGGTCCCCTCCCCGACAGATAGTCCAGGAGATTCGGTAGTATTATCGACTGCCTCGTCTGCATCGGCGTCAGTGTCGGTTTCTTCGACCGTTGCTTTCTCTCTTTTCTCATAGGTCCGCACGAGTTTCCCCTTCTTTACCTCCAGGCTCATTACTACACCTTTAGTCTCCCACTCCGGTTTAGACTGCTCTTCTAATTCCCGTAACATGCGCTGTTGTTTTTTCAGTGCCAGTGCTCTCTGGGCTGGAGTCATCCACTGTGTTGAAGACGAAGTAGGTATGTCAAAATCAGCCGCTTCATCTAGAATCCGTGTTCTTTGTGCATTGTGTGCCTGAAAAGAAAGAAGCTTGTCACGGTGAGCTTTCGCGGCATTTAACTTTGTATCGTTTTCAGCACTTGTTCGAGAAGTAGACGGGACATGATCATCCCGGCGGAAGCTATCGTTGTGGGCACGCATTTTCTCATTTCCTCGTTCAGATCTTAGTTCGCGAATCATATCTCCTACTTCTTCACTGGAGAGAATCGGGGAGCCACAAAATGAACATGGCTGTATACCTTCTAAAGCACATATTATTTTGCCGCATGAGGTGCAGTTCGGTGCAGGCGTGAAGAGAGGATGTATAGAGGTGTTGCAGTTACACTTCCGAGTTTGGGTTTTCGAGGGGTTCGAGGACAGCACCTCTAGTGCCGCAATGGCAGATGTGATGTCTGCTATGTTGTTTGTCGTTGTAGTTGTGGTGGTAGGTGTGGAACGGCCGGCTTTTTTCTGTGAAGTATTGCCCGAGGATGAGGTTACAGCTGTAGGATGACCAAAATTCTTTGGAGCCTTTTTTGATCGAACATTCGGCAGGTACTCCGAAATCATCGGTCCGGTAGCAGATGGCGGTAACTTACTCTTCGACGACGATGAGGGTGCCGGTGATCGATTCCTCGGTGACGACGCCGGTGATGCATTGCCCAAGCCACCTCTCCCGCCAGAGCTGCTACCAGCCATATAATTCTCTTCCGTCTGAGACTTGACATATCCACCGCTAGTATCTCCATATCCGTCTGGCAATCTAGTTGTAGAAGAAGGGTTCAGCGGAGCTCTCTGAGACCTCGCGCCAGCCTGTTTCTTAGGTATCTGACCGCCTCTATCGCCCCCGCTACTACTGCTTGTCCCACCATTACCACTCTGCCGTTGATGGTGGCCACGCCGCGAATTGAATGCGGATATAAACTCAAGCGCCGCTGGTGAGTCGTCTAGTAGGTTTTTTAAGTGTTCCGCACTTTCATCTTTGGAGAGAGAAGACGAATATGATATGACTTGTTTAAGAGATTCCTCGTCAAGCGGAAGAAGTTTAGCAAGTCGAGGGACCGCCCAGGTTTCGAGCGAGGAGCCCGACATAGCCATAATCGGCACCTATACAGTAGGTAAACAGGGTATAAGGTAGCAATACTAACTATGTAGGTTGCTCTCAATATCTTGCGAAAGCTACTTGATTCTCGACTTTTGTTATGGATGTCCATACGAGAAATCGCGATGACTAAAAATAAGCTCTCGGATGTATAAAACTCCGTTAACAAAAACAGACTAGCGTATTTTATATGCCAAGCACGGTGAACTTTGACCAAATCTTAATAAAAATAGAAATAGAGTTGGTCAAGGCTTTTCTTCAGATAAAAGTAAAAGGATAACGAGCCTTGTAGATCAACGAAACTTGCCAACCCTACATCATCATACTGCTACTTAGAACGCTTTAAGTAGAACAAAACATTATGGTAGTTTCAATATTGATGGACTATATACAAAACAATATCATGGTGGTTCGACTTTTGCCCTTTCACACAAATACTAACTCTGAAAGCTAGGTATATCACTCCTCTTAGGTCAACTTGAGTCCAGAAATTTTTCTTCAAGGGCAGTCTCCATCACCGCATTCTCGGACGGCAAAGTAGTAGATATCAGCATATCGGCGGCACTCAACACCCTTCCAGCTTTCAAGACCGGAGAACTGGCTGCAGTAGTTGTACAAATCAGCCTTGAAGTTGTCGTCAACCTTCTTTCGGTAGTCCTCAGTGAAACGATTTAGTCTCTTTCCGTTGCGGTATCCATAGTCATGGCGTTGGCAGGATGGGATAAAGTCGTATCCTCGTGGCTTGTCGGGGGAGCTAGAGCAGTTGTCTGAGCTCCAGTCGCAGCATGGTGGGTTTTGGGCATTGCGAGCAGTTTGGAAGGCAGAGATAGATGTGCTGAAGAGCAGACGGTCGGTGACGGCAGCACTGCAATCACAGGCGGCGGCAGCAGGGCGAGGGGCAGCAGCAGCCAAAGAGCTGACGCCCAAGACAAGGAGAGCGCTGAGCTTCATGGTGAGATATATTTGTTTGTTTGTATATAGTCCTATTAGAGGTAGGTATCTCTGTTGAGCCTGGACTTAAGAGGAGATGATAAAAGGGATCTTTCCATTGAGGGACGTCCATCTATTTATATTCACGTTATCTTTACTGCGGATTGAGGGGAGCCCACCGAGGCTGGTCCCTCTCTTGCACCATATCATGGTCTTGCCTCCGTATCCAGCGGATACTATCACCAGTGCCTCATTCATAGACAGCTTCTTGAAGCCATTCAAAAATAAGACGGAGATCTCCAAAAGCTGGGCCAAGCAGGTGAGAACCAACCAGAAGCACAAGATCCTGGCATCCTCGTATTCATACGCTCCTAAAATCCAAGTTTAATTAGCATGCCTTCCAGCCCTGTAGCAGGATTGGGGGAAAGGAGAAAAAAGAAAGACCAGAGAGCATGAACATGGGAAAGAGGCTGCAGGTAAAAAGGCCTGAGTGAAAATGACTCGGCACGCCAACGTCGATCCCAGCACCTTACAGCAACCCCACGTCTGGTCTCTGCGTGGAGGCCTTACTAGTAAATGGAGATGAATATACTCTGCAATGTTACATCCATTCGTATCGAATGACTTTTCCAGATCGAGAGCGGAGGTCTCCGCGCTTTGCATCATACTTCTTTCTGGCTTGTCGAGAGAGGTTCGTTTTTCTTTTATTCCTCATCCTCAAAAGGCGCATTGTTTTTCAAAGCAAGATGGGTTAGGAACCTATACACAATGGTCAACAAGACACTAACATATAGAACAATAATTCGAGCAGATAGTAAGGCTTAGAAAGGTTTAAGGACTCGCAACTTGGATTGCACACCATAACAGGTACTAGCCTCTAACCCCTGCCACCGCTAGGCTGACTTCTATCTCCGCCTTGCCCTGTATATTCTCTATGCATAAACATTGATATTGGAAGATCACTCCTTGCAAAGGGAAGGACAAGAGTATGCAAGGCTGGTCTCTGAAGGATAAAAAGCAACTGCCTTCTCGAATAAGGCTAGCAAAGACGGCCAAAAGTTGCACAAGCCATGGCGTTGGAATGAGTGAGGCCGCCCATATGCGGAGAGGCTTAGTTATCGATGTAAGATTTCATTAATATTGGCATAATAATCCGAAGATGATGTATTGTGAACTGGAGAAAGAGTAGCAAGCCTGGTAAGCATGGCTCTCGAAGCCTACATGATCCTCCAGGGTTGCATACATTGTAGGTATCCTCCCCTGGATTAGTTTATTGAATAAGGCTCCGTTAGCAAAATGTAACCCCTAACTGTTATTATCCATAACTTAGTTGGAAGCGTACCGTGCTTATCAAATCAAATACTCCAATTTTCGCGAAGTTTGGATAGAATCATTCTTGACCATATTAAGATATAAGTTGACTTTTTGTCCTTTCTACATGTTTGACCTTACAGATATGCAGGACATAGTTACACCTTCTTTCTTTTGGATAGGTTTAATTTACAGACAAGCTGATGCCATGCTAATCCTAGGCTTGGAGAAGTAACTTTATCAAAGGAACAAGGATAGCCAGTATAAAAGAACCGAAGAGACATGTGGACACCACTTTCAAACGAACCAGACAGCTTGTAGTGAAAAAACAGTAGGATAATCAGTTGCTGTTTCTGCATTGTAAACAGCTTGTTACATAGAAGGCTCCGAGGCACCTGGTGTCCCTAACCAAATGAGCTCAATAACACTATGTGTTTCATCAAATTCCCTCGAGTACAGCTGGTGCACATTATCACCAATAACTGTAGACTCGGTAAGCATCCATCTTTCCTTTTTAACTCCAGGCTGGTCTTTGGGCCTTAGGGGGCCGAGTCGTTTTTCAAACACTTTATCATCCCCATCCCAAGTCTTTTCAACCCTGTCAAATCCGACTGATTCAGCATTTGCGGAAGCGTCGATCGTGTACTTAATCATCGAGTAGCCGTTGGTTAGCACCCAAAAGGTTCGTTGCCCCTTTCCTGTGATGCGTTCATCGAAACGCCATCGTCGCAAGACTGAATTACGACCCGCAGCTGCCGCGACAGTGCTCATTTTTATCACGTCCTTATTATACCAGCTCTGCCAGTGATGTAGGGAGTCGAACTGGCGTCCCGATTCAAACATCCCATCGGGTTCACCTCTCATATCCATCTGATACAGCGAGTCCCAGAGTGTTAAGTCGGTATTTCCAAATTTTTTGATGCAATGTGCCACTTTCTGGTCCCCAGGTTGAATACCAAGGTCCTGACACTTCTGGTATACCGTATGCATGGTCTCAAGGAGTGGTTTGGACACAAATACCCCAGCACCTCCAAAAGCAATAGGACCGAATTCATTGACCTGTATACTTGCTTCAGAGAGGGATCCGATATAGTGCCGCTTGGTTGCATCAATTGTTGCCAGGCGTTTCCCGATAGTTGCCAAAGACGGGAAGAAGGTATCGTCATCAACAAAGCTAACCCACTTGATATTAGGAAGGGTTTTGTCAATATGTTCCGTGAACGCTTCAACAAGGCCAAAATAACGCGCAGTGAAATCAAGGGGAGAAGTCTTTAGAGTCAGGTTAAGCCCACGGTTTCGGAAGTATGTTTCATGAGTATTGATATTTGCCGTCCCCTCAGGAACCAGAACCAACAGATGTGCCTTTGAGGAGCCGTATGAGAAAAGGAGCGATGGGAGGAAGCGTCTCAATCGGTCTACATCCGTTGCAAGACCAAATAGCATATACTCCGTATCCTCAGCCCCGCTGTCTGCTGCCACATCAACTTCAACCACTGGTGGGCATGTCAACGCGTCCCCTCCTTTATCGCCAGGGGGTGCTGTCAAACCACGATCCAGGGCCATGAAATCTGGTAGAACTGGTTGTCTGATCATTTCCATTGAGGCAAATTTCACATCTGAGCTGACCATGTTAGGGCGGATATAAGCACGGGTGAAGCTCTTGCGATGGAGCCATTCTGAGTATGATAGGGGAGGAGGTAACATCAAACCCCTTTTGCATAGCCCATCCACGGCCTCAACTGACGGAAACTGTGACTGAAAGCGCGTCAGGGGCGGTACATTCACGTTTGAGCGAGAGAGCTGATCAAGAGAGTGTGCAAGCTTAGAGAGAGCAATGCGGTCATATCTGATAGTAGCCCAGAGGAAGAGCACTGGAATCGCCAACACCAGGCTAACAATAGTAATTCTAGGTCGAATAGGCATTGTCATAGGCTTGATGTTAGGAGCCGTAGTGGTTGGACTCTAGGCAAAGAAAGGATAGAGATCTCTGCACCGTTTCCTATTGTTTAAAAGACGCTGATAGAGGTAACAATCTTCTCTCTGGCTGGGCTGTGGATGTGTGAGTGTTTGTGTGCAGGACAGAAGAGAAAACAAGAAGTGAGGTTAGCCAGCTCTGTTGTGACATATGCTAAGTGCACAACTAGACCGCACAACCCAATATAGGAATCAGAAACCATCCCACCGGCTGTGGTGAAGCCAAAAAAGGAGAATCACAAGCTCAACAATAAAATAAAGAAGGGCTAGGTATAGGAGAGACGTAAGATAGAAAACGACCCGGTGAAGGATGAACAAATGGAGATATATAAACATCCTATAATGGTATCAATACTCCCTTAACCAAAGGAGTCTCCTCTGACTAGAGCTGACAGACTTTGATATTCTTATTTCTACATATCAAGGAAAATATTTTTCAAATATTTTGTGGTTGTGCTTTCCCTGGGTCGACAATGATTAAAGCAAAAGAACAGAAGGGAGTTGCTTGGTAGCAGTGGTATCTCCTTCTAGCACACTCAACTTGCTAATAAATATGCCTTTATAACATAGTTGAGGGTAATGGGATGTGCTTATGCTATCAACTGGTAAGCATATGGGGTAAAAAAGATAAAATTATAAGGGTTAGGGGTGCCGTTCTCGAGGATCCTTTGATAGATTGCCTTCTAATATTATTATAAATAACATTCGAAAGAATATCTATCTGTCTCAGGGTATTGGTGGCTTTGAACTAGGTGTTATGCTATATGGTCTCCCTCACTTCCTCTTCATCGATTATACCCTCTCGATCGTCAAACTTTAGAAAGTCATTCTCATCAGCCGCATCACCCATAATCGCTTTCCATACTAGCTTAACTTGATCAATCAAGCCATCTTCAAAGGCCAGGTCAAGGGCAGGTGCCGGAAAAGTAAAGACGTGGTCGTGAGCCCCTCTTAGGAACTCATCAGTGACCTTTTCATCCCCCAGGCGGCCCAGTTGAGTGAAGTATGCACGCCACAGTACCTTTGCGTTTACATCTGCGGATTTCAGGATGTGGTCCACTGCATGTTCAAGTACAGGCCGACCCTCCGCTGCCGGTAACAGAACATAGCCATAAATGATACCTGTTTTGTACCCAAAGTTAGCAAAGTATATGTGTAAGAATATATAATGTGTTAGAGTTTAAGATAAGAGACTGTTTGGCTCTTTGGATCAGATATAAGGTGTTTATCCTCAATGATATTGCAGACAATGTAGATAATATAAAGGCATCATAAAAGAGTGGTATACATGCTTTGATCAAAAAGGGGAAGGGTTGTACTAACATTGGCCAAGAGGACACTCCCCAGTATCGCTCGAGTGTATCAGGAGATAAGTAGGAGGGCCGGAATTTGGCGATGGAATAGTGACAACCGCGCCGGCGGGAATAGGTCCATTCTCTGAGGTCGGTGGAAATAGAATTTCCAATGATGAATCAACAACCAAAATAGCTCGTGTAAGGGCGGAGTAGGGAAGGCCCCTTGCCCTGTGTATTTGTCCAGGGAGATCCCATGTAGATCCAACGACATATCTACTCTTTACGGATTCGTTGTTCGTGAGATGTATTTGAAGTTTTTCGTTTTCACTATCATCTGTGAGCACGTCAACCTTCTTGATTTCCTTGCCGAGAGCATATATGCCTCCCCCAACGGCGCAGGCACGGCAAGCAGCTTGGGAAATTTCAGCTCCACCTCCCCACTTCGTAAAAACAGCGCCAAAACCAGGTCCAAAGACCCCAATGGAAGTGAGATGCCTTTTAATATTCGGTATAGCGTCCACAGAGCTGGTTTTATCGATGCTCTTTAGGGAAAGAGATAATGAGAGCAGCGGATCAAATAAATCGCAAGGGATGCGATATTTAGTCTCCAGAAGGTCTTGGAACAATATGTCCCGGTCTCCCACTTGATCCGGTTCAGCATCCTCATCTTTCCCATGCGGTATGAGTTGCCTGAGAAGCTTCATTAGAGATCGTTTCGATTTCATACTCATAGTATCATCAGTAAACACATCTTCACGGCTGCTAGGCACACGCCTCAATCTAGCTGACTCGGAATCGGCTCCACGTTGATATATCCACCAGCTTCCTACTGCTTGGAACTCGAGCTGACGATAGACTTTGGAGGATACCAGTGACGGAAGAAACCTGGACTGGGAAAAGAGCAACTGCGGTGATAGTGATAGTGTATATGCACGTGAGAATGACAGTTGGCTCTTTTCACCCTCCGAAAAGGTAGGCCGTGATATCGATGCAGATTCGAAGGGCATAGAGTTAGGTACTGTCTTGGGTGGAAAGAATGTCAATCACGGCGTTCTTGAACCATGGAACAAAACAAAAATGAATGAAAACCATACCCTGATCTACTTTCTTCACCCATTCTTCTGCTTCCTGTAGACTAAAGGCTGCTTCGGAGCCACCGTAATAGTCATTTTTATCAATATGGAGGATCTTCTTGCCGGATCGTGATAGTGCCCTTCACATTTATTCAAGTCAGCAAACAGAGAGGCGACATTTCAGTAGGGTACAGCCCACACTTACAAGGCCAGGACGGCCTGGGGGAGACCGGTCCCTGATATCACGACATCCCAAGTCGACCCATCAAGTGTATTCAAGTCGAGCATTCTGATATGGTCCTCTGCTTTTGGATCAAAGGCCAGATCTCAGAGGAATGGCATCCAGTCATTGCCTCTATAGCATGCTCAACGGGCAACGAAGTGCAGAGGCATTCAATACCTTAACACTAGAAATATTCTAGGCTGCCACAATTTATGTATCAAAAGCACTTTTAAGTCCGAAGATGTCGATGTTGCTTTTTTATGTGTGGAAGACAATATATCACGTGATATAATATCTGGTTCCTTGGCGTTAAATAAAAGATGCAAAAAATTATAAAGGCAAAATTCTCTTCTTCTCTTTTTCATGCCACTCTACGTGTAATGCGTTGACGTACAGCTATTCATCTATTAGTTATATGTCTATGGATGGCCCTTCATTGGTGCTGTCGTTTAAGAGTGGTAGATTCAATTTCACCCTGTATCTGCCGCTCAGGATAACCACTCTGATAGATGCGGTTCGTTTTGTGGTGATACATTTATTCATGTATGCTCCATGGAGATTTTGGGCATTCTTACGTTATAGAAAATATATAGTAAAACTATTTCTCGGGTACCTCGTTGGTCTGTCATATTGTCGCGGGGGGACTGAGCTTATTCCCCTAATACCAAGCGGACCTCGTTGGTAAAGGTCTTGATGACCGAGGCTGGACGGCTATGGAAAATGGTTCCTTGATCATTTTTAATCTTAGAGCATCAGGCAAACTCGGTAAAGGTGGTCTACCTCGGCGAAATCATCGTGTGATGCCCCGGCATTGACACCCTTCACCATGGTCCAAGGAGATGATTCATTAACCTCCAATATATTCTGGGTCTCACTCTTCCTCAGCTTCAACAAGACGGGCCTTCAGTATCTTAACTTGGTCCACAGGTCGATCCTCAGCCCCTGTCTTTACCAATCCCATCCTCTGAACGACTCTCATCCCGCTTTTCACTCGTCCAAATATTGTATGCTTTCCATCCAACCAAGGTGTTGGTGCCAGTGTGATAAAAAACTGGCTTCCATTAGTGTTAGGTCCACTGTTCGCCATACTCAGAACTCCAGCGCCAGTGTGTTTAAGAGATGGGTTTATCTCGTCTTCGAACTTTTCACCATATATCGAGCTTCCCCCTCTTCCAGTTCCTGTTGGGTCGCCCGTCTGAACCATGAAATTGGGAATTATTCGGTGGAATATGACATTATTGTAGTAACCTCGCTGCGCCAATGTTGAGAAGTTCTTGCAGGTCTGTAGAATTCGGTTAGAGCCGTTTGCAACAAGTGACGAAGGGCTGAATCAGCCTTAGAACCTGGTATATCTTTCCTTGGGCGCATGTTCTGTATAAAGCTCAACTGTTACAGAGCCCTAGTAAGGTGGTAGATGTCAGAAACGGTCCCCTCATGCTCGTTTGTAGATGGTGGTAAATTACCATTGTTGTGTCAAGAACCACCTCTGTTGCCATGGCTGGTGATTAATATATTTACCCTGTTTCCTGGTAAATAATATCGGTGGTGAATTAGTCCTAATCCGCTATCTGCTTAATATCTTGTATCTTGGCCGTTGGTTTGTAAGTATTCATGGTGTTTTAGTCGCGAGCGCCGACAATTTTCTGGTTTGCAACTAAAAATGCTGACACAGATTCAAAGTGAAGCCACATCTCAACTCTAAAAGATATTCAATATAAAAAGCTGGGCAACCCCAGCGCATCTCACCAGAGAACCACTGTGAGGCTCTTCTTTCTGATATCGAAAGTACAGGTATACTGTGGCCATTCTAATCTATTTCCATTCCTTGATCATTGGCTAGCCCTCTTGTTGACTGCCACAGCTAAATCGTCACCGGCCGCCTACGTATGTGGGAGCTGAAAACAGAGGAAGAATTATGCATTCACTACCTAGCTTTACAGAAGCTATAGATCAACTTATCGTGGAACTCGCCCTGCTAAAGCCTCTCATTCCCACATATATCCACATCATCCTGTCTACCCTCTTTGCCCTTTATATTGGCTGCCATGCATCTCTCTCAAGGCCCTCATCCGCCAGAAAGGGGGCAAAAGAACACAAGGAAGAGGATGAATCTGATGAAACTTTTGTCCAAAAGATGGGAGGTCTAGAGCCATCAGATGCTATAATGTTTCCCATACTCTCCGGAGTCACTCTCAGCGGTCTCTATCTTCTAATAAAGAAGTTTGACCCCAAATACTTGAGCAAGATTTTGAACTGGTATTTCGCCCACGCCGGTTTTATATTTGGCATAGTTTTCATCCGGGACGCTATTACAATATTCAGGTCCTTCATTTTCCCTACCCGTTATTGGCACCGAGGTACTCTATGGAAGGCCAACCAGGAAAAGCAAGTATTCGAAGCGATATCTTCAGGGTCGCCATCATCCGACACTCGTCTATCGCCATTACCGGGTATTTTTGGGGCAGCATATCTTCCAGAACCCGCACGGAGTCATTTGTGGCGTTTACGAGGAGCCTCCTATCAAAAAATGAACTTCCAAGCTTATATCAGGTCTGTCGTGGATCTTAAATTCCGGTTCAACCTCATCGATGTACTGAGTATAATTCTGTCCGGCGTTGTCGTTCTTTTCTCTATATTTGGCTCGCGTCCATGGTGGCTTACAAACTTCCTTGGATTCTGCTTTTCCTACGGTGCACTCCAATTCATGTCGCCTACAACGTTCTGGACAGGAACCCTTATCCTAAGCTCTTTGTTTTTCTACGACATCTACTTTGTCTTTTACACGCCCATGATGGTAACTGTTGCCAAAAATCTCGATATTCCAATAAAGCTATTGTTTCCACGTCCTCCTCTCCCAGGGAAGACTGTTCCATCAGAAGCCATGCTTGGACTAGGTGATATTGTGGTACCAGGGATGATAATCGGACTTGCCTTACGATTTGATCTTTACCTGCACTACCTAAAAAAGCAAAGTCGGCAAATACAATCAGATTCAAGTGATGACTGCCGGGTTGAATACAGAAATGTTGCTGGCGGGTGGGGCGAAAGGATCTGGGGATGTGGATTGAAACTGACAGATATCCCCAAGGAGGAAGAGGAATATTTTCAGGCAAAGGTATTTCCAAAGACATACTTTAATGCTGGGTTGGTCGGGTATGTCATTGGCATAGCCGCAACATTGTTGTCGATGCAGTTATCAAGGCACCCGCAACCTGCACTATTGTTCCTTGTTCCAGGGGTTCTGATATCGCTCTGGGGCACTGCATTCATGAAAGGCGACCTCAATACTATGTGGAGTTTCTCTGACGAGGTTGAAGACGAGGATAGCGACGAAATTGAAGAAGATGACAAATCCGAAACTGGCGACTCTCTCTTAAAGGGGCTCCTAAATAAAATGGTAGGACCCGAGTGGACAAACCGGGTAATGGGCCCCAACGCCAAAAATGCATCCAATAATAACAAACCCAAGTGTGAGGATTCTGACCTAGTGCGTCTAAATGGTGATGAAAATAAAGTCAAGGGGAGCAGCAGCAAAGACGAAAAGCCTACCAAAGAGAAGAAGCCTCATCCGCGGTCGGAACTTATATCGATTTCAATTTCATTGCCTATAGAGCCAGAAATGAATGGTCGGGTGGGAGAAGAGGACAAAATCGTTTCAGAGACCCAATCCTCCACTAGCCCCTCTCCAGTTATTGTTGCTAAGGAAGAAGGACCTCCGTTGAAGAAAAGACGAGGAAATGGAAGTGTTAATTGAAGGTCGCTATTCTAATTTAGACCTCTGGGCGTTCTTGGAATATATCGGGCGAGCACACGTTTGCATAAATAATGAGATTGTTGATGAGTATTTATTTAAGGATGGAAATTGTATGGTATAGAGAGTCTTATTATTCTTTCTTTCTACTTTAGAATGAACATATCAATACCCCGCGTGGTTTCTATATTGACAGGTCTCAGCCTCCTAGAATAATCTTCATTTCCTTCCACCTAGACGTGGCCAAGTTAACGATATCTTTCATCTCTTCCTTGCCCACATAAAAGCCACCATTTTTCTCCAACCTCAAAATTTTAACATGCGAGCTTGACGAGTCGAGATCCACCACGATACATACACGCTCTGGACAAAGGGACTCTTCGAACGCATCAGGATCTGCTAAAATCCATTTGTCATAGCTTTCGTCTGTATCATTAGACTTTGAATTATCCAGCCTTCTTCCTTTCCCCTTTTGTTGCTCGAATGGAAGAAACACTCGTCTCCAGTCATCCATGCCATGCGCCTCAAAAACACAGAAGGAGCTCGAAATAGGCATGCCGCGTAGTTGCAGACTGCTCGCGTCAGAAACTCTGTCTGAGCATAATACTCTCTCAGTCTCAGTGTCCCACCATGCTTTAGGTAGCTTAGTGTTTCGAAGTGCGGCCACTATCGCCGCCCACGCTACATCAAATGGATTACCCGCAAGTGAAACCATCAGGATATCAATATACAGAGTCCAAAAAGCTTTAACTTCCGGCTCCTGTGCTGCAGCTGGTTCGGGGTTATCACCCCCATCATCCATCTCAACATCCTCGGTGACTTCAGTGGAGTCTTTGGCGGGAGTTGGGGTGTGCCATATTCGTAAGTCGTCAGCACGAACTAAGTTTGCGCTGTGTAAAAGAGATAGCAGTTGGTGTGATAATGATTGCGCCAGGGCTGTAGGCGGCGCGCTGGCAAATATACTTGGTGAACAACCTGTGCTCAGTGATAAGTTGGGAACAAGTAAATTGAATGATTGAATATCCGAGTCGTCATCATCACTACTTGTGGTCTGGTCAGATTCAGGTAACGAGCCAGCATTTTCAGTCTTCCTCCGTTTTGTACTTCTCGAAGACAATGCTGAGTTGACCTTCCAAGAAGCGATGTCATCGGTGTGGAGGATTTCCGCTCTCACGCCGCAAACAGCGGCCGTGTCGCCTATACGGACAACCGCGCTGCCATTGGTATGGGTAAGTGAACCTGTGCTCACAGAAACCGGCCGAAACTGCGCATCCGTCCTGCCATTTATGCGTATCGATGGCCGCGAGCTAGAAGGAGAGGGTTGGAGGTGTGCGAGGGCATATGTGTGCGGCTGGAGCTGCGCTAGGTGTGCAGGAGAGATAGAAAATGATGGAACAGAGCTGGATAGCCCCGCTGGCGCTTCTGACGCTAAATTAATTGTTGTCATATTTCCAGAGCTCCGCGGTTGGCTTGAATATATCAAATCAACGTCTTTCTCTGCAATCAAAAAGAAGTTTTTGTTGATTAGGTACATGGCAGAATAAGTCTGAGTTACCAAGGCGGTGAGCCACTTTATACATGATCACCTGACCAAGTCTCACTTACATCACTGATATCAACACTATAGGTCTTTGGACGTCACAGGGATAGCTGCTTCTGAATATAGAGTACTTTGCCTAACTCATACATAGTAATCCTATTTGAATGCCTTGTTACTGCTTTATATGTGACATGAGAGGCTGTCAGGGGTGCAAATAACCATATACTTCCTCTTAGGGTTAGTTAGCTGATTAATCATACGTAATACCGGATTTTAGATAATCCACTCCGAGAGCACGGGCTCTAACCGCTCCCGAGGTCGCTTTCTATTTTTATATTCCCAGCGAAGGCAAACAAACTGCTTGCAGAGGGAGTCTTTTTCTTGTCCAAAAAAGAATATCCTGGAGGTGCAAATGAGAAAACACGGGGGGGTGCTTTGTCCTGAGTGAATTCGAAAGAAACACTCACCCGATTCTCGCTACATGATCACACAGATGCCGGTCTTCGGGACGTTCGCAATCATAGCGGAGAGACTAATGCATGAGATTTCACAATCCGTCACCTCTTGAACGGTGTTTGCCCCGCTGATTGGACGGGGTACATTCTGCTGATCAACCAGAGATAGTCGTACAGATGCGATTGAGCTCTATGCTTCGTTTTCGCTTGGCCAATGAACTCGCTGTTTACTATGTTGGGCCATTCGAAGGACCTGAGCTCTCCGAGGAGCGACGGCAGTTTGTGCCCTCTTTGCTGCACTCCAGTCCATGTATATATGTGCAGATATGTGGGGGCTTGCAGCTACCTCCGCTAGCTAAAATCTTGACATACTACGTACATACTATGTGCTGAAGGTGTTCTACCTTTGGGTATGTTGATAGAGAATCCGTACTCCATCTGGTGCACGGCAATCAGTCCAGGGTTGTGGACCTGGCAAACGTCGACGTTGCACGGCGGCTATATACAATGTAATGGATGGTAACATCTCAGCGGTGTGCTCTCTCTGCGGCCCCTCAGAAAAACCCGATTATCCGGTGCAAGAGCCTTGATCCCTGACCCCGTATTTGACTTTGGGCGTATAGAGAGGGGGCGGCCGTCTGCGGCCAATCGATACTCGGCACCACAAAAGAGCAATGATCCGTGACTCTTAACCGATCGTCATGTACCATTTCTATTCGCCAAGGTCGGCTGTCCCTCGTTCATGCTGATTGTGCGCATGCTTGCATTCCATTCACATCTTGGCTTATATACAAGGCCAGCCGCTGAGCAGATATGTCATATCTGTATACCCCTGGCTTCCTCTCAACCATGCAAAAAGCTTGATCATGCTTGCTTTTCTATCCCAGGAGCGACCAGGCTGGCTTACATAGTATTGATGCCCGGCCGCCACAATACGTCCAAGAGCAATTTGTAGCGCCTCGATTGCCCTTTTCTGTGGAGAGAGAATCCTTTAGTTGATATTCCTCGAAGGCCGGGAACCATGCAAAGACCCTGCATTGGCTTATCCTGATATCGTACTAATATCGTACCTCAGAGTTGCCGAAGTATATATTGCTTTTCCTTGTCTGCGTTGACTTCCGTTGAACGTGGAAAAGCCAGACATCAGCGGCCGGAGCTGTTTACCTCTTTTCCCCATTATCCATACCCTCATTTTTTTTATATATATCCATATAAATATCCATGTTCCTGCACTGTCGATCTATGTGAATTAGGCCTCCCATGTCACATATAATGTCCATCCCTTCCATCTGCTAGCCGCTGAGTCTCTCACCTTACCCAACCAACAACCTGCACCTGTCTGGAAAATATCAAACTCTTTAATATAAAGATCTATTTACCTGGCTGCAGGTGACTGGAATTTCTCGCACCCAACTTCGTCATAAAAGGCTTTCTTAGTGTTTGAATCCGGTTTGCGCCTGAGAGAACTACGAGAGGCTATTCGACTTGAGTGTGCTATCATCCACACTTTGATGACAATGGGCTGGTAACCGGCCATTTCATCGCGGGTCCTCCGGTATAACCCACGATAACATTCTGGCTACCACCGAGAACGTTGACCTCCAACAAACCCTCTCTCGGCTTCGCAATACCCTATTTGTCAATAAAAAATAGGCAGAATGTCGCCCATTACCCCGGAATCTATAATAGCCTCCGCATTGGCCTCGAAATCCTATCTACAATCACTTATCAAGCGCATCGATATTCCCATTAATAGCGCGACCACAGAGGAGCAACTCGCCACATCGCAGTTAGATCCGTTCTCGCAGGCCTCCAAGTATGCACTAGGCTGGGTTTACTTTTCCATTTCCTTATTCGTCTTGACTTTTTTCCTCCGTCTATACCAAATTTGGGGAGATAAGATTAGAGCTGCATTGCGAAAGGAAGAATTGTTTAGCCCTGGTCAAACACTCTCGCCTCAGTCCGATTACGAATTGGTTACGCCCAGCCCAGCGAACTCCCATCGAGCTTTTTTTCCTGCCACAGGGCCCCTCGTTGAACCTCCAAAGCGTGACTCAGCTCTTTCATCTATAGGTTGGGTAAATAATTCGATTGCCTTCTCGAGATGGATATTTTACCGCCCTTTGCCGGTGATAAAGCTTGGAAAACTAGAGGTTGTTCCGCCATCATTGGCAGCCGCCGTTCTTGTTCTGCTTGCCTTTGCCTTTGTGACACTCTACTGCTTCCTCCCACAGCCTTTATACTACCCTCACATCACCGATGGCTCCCCTCCTCTCGCAATAAGAGCTGGTATGCTTGCCGTTGCGACTCTTCCATGGATTATTGCGCTGAGCACAAAACCTAATCTTATAAGCATGTTTACTGGGATTGGCCACGAGCGTTTAAATGTCCTCCACCGATGGGCTGGTTATCTCTGCCTTTTCTTAGCCCTATTGCACATGGTCCCATTTTATATCACTCCAGTCTGGGAGGATGGAGCCCTCCCGCTGTTTTCCCTATTCATTGGAGGCGATTACTACATCTATGGCTCGGGCCTGGCTGCTCTTGTACCACTTGTCGTACTTTGTGTTCATTCTCTACCAGTCTTGCGCAACCGCATGTATGAACTCTTCGTTACCTTGCACGCACCAATTTCGATGATATTTATTGCAATGATGTTCTGGCATTGCAACAACTTCCTCACATCCTGGCACTACCTGATTTCTACTCTTGCACTCTGGGGTGTTTCCTATCTTGCTAGAGTTTTCTACCTAAACTGGATGAATCCATTCCGTCTTTCATTTCTTATCGGAGAGGAATCTGCCGTTACCATCCTACCGGAAAATGCCGTCAAGGTGACTATACCTACACAAATGAAGTGGAGGCCTGGCCAATACGTGTACCTTCGCATGCCAGGAATATCCATGCTTCAGAATCACCCTTTCACCATTGCCTCTCTATGCAGTGATGATTTTCCGTCAAGCTATGGGTCAAAATACCGTGATATGACCCTTGTGTTTCGTCCTTTTGGCGGGTTTACCCGAAGAGTCCTTGAAACAGCCCTAGAGAAAGGACCCTACAAAACTTACAGAGCTTTCATCGATGGCCCCTACGGTGGCGTTCGCAGAGAGCTCTCTTCCTTTGACGACGTCGTGTTTTTTGCTGGTGGGAGCGGGATAACCGCAATTGCAAGCCAGCTGCTTGATCTAATCAAAAGAATGCGCGATGGAAAAGCTCGGACCAGGACTGTGAAAGTAGTATGGGCACTCAAGCGACCAGATACCATGGAGTGGTTCAAGGAGGAACTGCGCATTTGCCGAGAATGTGCACCGCCTAATTCCATGGTTTGCAATTTCTACTTGACCGGCGCAAAAAGATATGATAAAAATGCCGAAGCAACTTCCTACTCGCGACCACAAAGTGGCATCTTCCACGATAAACTCAACGATGCCTTCCAGGGGGTTGCTAGCAAGAGAAATTCGGCATATATTCGAGAGGAAGCCGGTGGCGACGAAGACAAGGAGAGGGAGCTGCGGCGGGAGAACGAGGATAGCATATCCGCACTACCAAATGCACATATGGCCGTCCGCCCGCGAATACAGACGGGACATATTAACCCGTATTTCCCTGAAACGCCTACCTCTATGATATCTTCACCTGAAGATAATAATGACAGCCTCAACTTTGGCTTCCCTACTACTCCAACCATGTTACAAAAGAATCTCATGCGTTTTGCCTTTTTCCCCAGGCAGAAAAGGGATGGCTGGAGAACAGAATATGGTCGCCCGGATATACCGTTTATGCTGAAACAATTCTCCAAGGACTTCGGTCGACGGACCTGTGTTTTCGTGTGCGGGCCACCGAGCATGCGGGTTGACGTTGCAAATACTGTTGCTGGGCTACAGACTACCGTTATGAATGACCCAAATAAAGATGAGTTGTTCTTGCATACGGAAAACTATGCAATCTAAAGCTCCTAATATCATCTTCTCATCACTCCTTAAACATCATTTTCAAGATATTCTTTTTATACTAATGCTTTTGTGACTTTTGATACCACCCCCTGCAATGTATATAATCCCGATATATTGGTAGGAACCTGCGATTACTTCTATATTATCTTCTAAATATGGCTTCGGTCTACTTGTTTGCTAGATCATAAGTGTTATTTATTTACTTAAGCACACATTAATGCTAAGCTGCTTGAGGCCGGGCCGAAATCTTCAACCTATTGAATGCGGTTTGTGTTCTAAAGCCTCAGTCTTGAAACATAAAACAATCTCTCTATCTATTATAGGCATGGTAGATGTAAGATATATAAGTGTAGAACTGTTAAGAATATAGATCGTAAATCGGGGAGGGTATCATGGGTAAGGTATCAGTATTAGGGTAGGTAGGGTATCCAAGGAAGAAAAGGAACAAATAAAATATATATATAAAATATATAAAAAGAAAAGGAAAAAGAAAACGCCTCTACCAAAGCTATGAGAGCAGAACCCTTGTTTATCCTCTCCGTACTCTCTTAGCATTCTCCTGCCTGGCCTCCGCCTCATCAATAGAGCTGCGACTGACCTGCTGGTAGTCATCTATTTTCTCCCCCGTACCTATGTCGTGTACCTCTACCTTCTCCCAATCATCATCTTCATTGCAGGTTTTAGAGTCATGTTCATCAGTGCTCCCCTCCTCATCCCAGTTCAGTTCAAGTTTCACTACTCTTGCACCTCCGGGGGTTAGGCGGCGATAGTAACCTTCAAGTACGTTATCTTCGACAGTGAAGCCACGAGCCGCATACCAGGATAAAGCGTCCTCATTGGTCTCATGGACGTGCGCAGTTACAGTCCGAATATTATAATGCTTGACCATGTTGGAAACACGACGTGATGATTCCCTTCGGCCTCCGTTTGACTGGGACACGTCTTTCGAAGAGTCCGAGTCCTCAGCATAGATGAGAGAGTTTAACAGCGACGCCGCAATACCGTTTCCACGGTAGGGAGAGAGAAGATGCAGGGTTTGGATGTACAGGTTGACAACAGGCCGCAATGCTGTTGCCTTGGTAGAGGAAGGGTGAGGTAGAGTAGCTGGTTCCAGACGACATCGTATGCCACCGATAACTTTGTCCGTTCCGGATACTGGAGAAGAGGGAGAGGAAGACAGACCCTTGGCTGTTATATGTGCTGCCCCGTAGATATTTGTGAGTGGATGCTGGTGATATAGAGCCACACGCGAAACGGACGCAATAAAGGGGTCAGTTATAGTGGCGGTGTAGAAGGAGTTTTGGTATCGAACTGGGAGAAGCAGGCCGGTGATTCGCATTAACGAGGGTACATGTGCAGTCTTCACCTGACTGATAGTGACATGAGGATGGGGGGTCGATATAGACGGCGCAACATGCGGATAAGGAGTGAGATTCTGGAATGCGGGGTTGGATTTGGCTGGAGTTGAGCATATTGGAGGAGGTGGTATGACGGTATTAGGATGCATGGGGGGGAGAGCACTCTTAAGAGTCGGTTTCAGGTCTCTTCTGTCTGCTCTGGCGGCTGTATGCTGTCCAGAAGCTGCAGGGTTTGTGGTTGGCAGCGAGGAGGATCGTGATGACTTCGATGCGGAGAACAGGCGCGACATGACGGGCCAACGGAGAGGCTAACTATCGTTAGCTTTTCTAATGTGAAGACAACTGGCTAACCAGAGAGCGGAGAAGCTGTCTGGAGTAGATTCTGGAGCCGGGGAGGAGGCGATTATATAGCCAACATCGTCGCTCTCAAGGCCACCACAGTCGGTTTTCCTTCTCATGACCTTTTTTTTGACGGCGCGTGAGAAGGATCTTTTTTTAAGGCGGAGAGAGATTGATAAGATAAGATTAAGCCGGTCCTTAACGTAAGCAAAAAAAAGCTGGGCAAGAAAAAAAGAGGCAGAAAAACATCGCAAGGCGAACCATCGAAGAAGTTGTTTTTCTCACGGCTGATGCGCAGCTCAAGCCTCTCTCTGTCTCTGTTCTTGTGCTGAGTGATAGAGACGGCGCCCATAGGGAATGATCTGGACATAGTTTGGGTAGTGAAGCAGTTAGACCGCCGGTTTAATCAGGTATCGCAGCGGAACGACTCCATCCCCTTAGCATCCACCTCCCCCTCCCCCCCTTAATGCCGAAGGGTACCTTGCTTATAACTATTTAAAGCTATAATTGAAGCGATAGATTTTAACGACCTGACGCGGTTAATTGGTTCTCTGGATTGGATATACCATTTCGTGCGCTCCCGGTGCGACAAGTTTTCGCCGTCCTGCTCCAACGCCGACCCAAACGCTCCCTGAAGCCGGTACCGACCGATTCGGCGATTACGTCTCACACATTACAAAGGGGTTTAGGACATATTGCTGCCTGCTTGCCTGTTACTGCTGGGTTCGTCGTCCTTGGATAGAGACACTTCATGGAAGCATGTCAGGGCTGATGTCCCATTTTGGCATTGGCGGACATTGAGGGAGTTCTCAATAACCGGGTTAGTAGTAGATGAATGAGCTCGACCATTGTTGCACTTTATCAACAATATCAACACATCAAAACTCTGTCACTCGGATCGGACTATAAAACACAACACATCCTGTTCATTTCTGCCCTTTATGCCTTTTTATCTGGTCTTCGGCTTGCTTTCGTCTATTTTATCCCCATGCAATTTACACCTCCAGTCTCCCTACTCTACTGCCACACCTTTTCAAATACTTCTTCTGACACCATGACTTTAGCAGACGGAGCTCAAACTATGGCTGGTCCAGAAAAGGGTAAAGAAGCTGTAGATAGTGGTTCTATGTCTTCGACGGATATCGCCAAATTTGTAAGTGTTTTCTTAGAAACCATCCAAGGAATTCGGAGAAAACACACAGGACCGGGTTTAACACTTCAAGCAGACTCGCCAGATATTGGATGATACATTCTACAACATTATCCATGATATTGTGGCAAAAGTCCACAAGGAAGAGAAAGTTGCTCGCCAGCAGTCGGCGGTCGTCACTGCAAGACAGCTGGCCGAAGAATCGACCAAGCTCAAAGACTCAGGCGAAGAGCAGCATGGAACAGCCGATGCTGGCACGTCGGCCTCGCATGAGCATATATTAAAAACCCGAGCTGTTCGACTGGAAACTGAGAGTGCTATATTCGACAGTGGGAAAGTCTACCTAAAGGGTAACCCCTTGGAAAAGGTCAAGGAGATAATATGCCCCAACTGTCGCCTACCCCGATTGTTATACCCAGCATTCGGCGAAGGATCACGCCCTGTGGATCCTAACCGAGAATACTGTCGCAAACAACCGCCCGTTAACATTCACGGGCGGGACGTACACGGCCACCTCTTCGCCGTGGAGAAGATCACCAAGAAAAAGAAAACCCAACCTGCATCAGGTACACCAGGGTCGAGTCCACCGTCTATTCCGGAGACTCCTGGTCCTAATCCTCTCCTCCAACCTAAACAAGATAAAATCTATGTCCCTACAACCAAATGCCCCAACTGCCCACGCTACTTCCTTCTCACGAAAAGTGCTCAGCATCTCGATAGATGCCTAGGCATATCGACTCGACAGAGCCGAATACGCACTCCCATAACCGGCAGCGACGCCGGCACACCCGGGCCATCACAGCCAGCCAACGCACGAAAACGCGTGCGTGAAGGCGAGGAAGAAACCGCCGGCCCAGTGAAGAAGAAGAAGGATTTCGGACACACAACAAAGTTAAAGGGCCAAAAGCCTGCCGCACCGAGTAAGTTGAAGAATGGGACTACCGCAGATATGGTCTCGGTAGAAGTCACAAAACCTACAGCAAATGGGAAAGCTGGGAAACAAAAAGCATAATTTGCTTCTGCTCTCCCTACATATCATCAACGATACCAAACTAGCATATTATCGGAATTCATCCTTCATAATATTGCCCTCCTCCTTGCACATTAAAGGCAACAAAACGATTAAACGTTCTGCATACATACCGGAGTAACGGCACAACAACAACAAGCATCTACCTTCCACAATCCCGATTAATCGACAGCTTACAAAAAAGCGGACCAGAAGGTCTCTTATTCGTTCTGTTTAATTCTCCTGGCGAATTTACCTGGCTAGCTAGCTATCTAATCCAGGGGGCCCGCTTAGGTTCCTCATCTCTCATCTTCGTTATACCATTTTCCTCTCTGTTTTATGAAGCAGATCAATTCACTCTAATGCCGGATGGAATGGCGGGTATCTAACTAGAAACGGGGGGGCGTTTTGGTCAACGGCGCCAAAACATGGCTTTTTTTTTTCTTCTCCTGCCTTTCTTCCATTTTTCCTTTCCCCATTTCGCTTCCACTACATTAACTTTTTTTTTTCATTTGTGTTTTCGTTGAAACTTCATTTTTTCTTCTGTTGCATTGCGTGGAATGGGATGTGTTTGCCCTTGCATCTGCATCCTGCACGATGTAGCAGCTTCTTCCGTTAGGGGATGTCGATAACTAGATCCTTACGTGTGTCTCGTGTATATTATGGCATTGTTTTTGAGGGCATGAGTAAATAATCAACCCGCTCATATGCTTCGCAAACGTAAATCTTACGGCTTTGAAAATACAAATTTCGCTCTATGCAAGTCGTCAAGTCATCACTAATATACATCCCATCCAAATGAATACCAAAACTTCAAGTCCGTCTCATTCCCAGCGCATACTTCTCGTCTATTAGTCGGTATCTCGTCCTATCCTTGCGGTCTTTGAATAACATCGCAACGCACAAGAGGAAAATACTATCAACCGCTATCAAGTAGCTCGTCAGCAGGCCATGCAGATGAAAATATATATATATATACAAACTTACCGACGATGGCGAAAGTGACGGTGGATAGATTGCCAAAAAACGAATAAGCGTAATCTGACATTGGCCCTATACATCCTGGCTTCTGCGCGGCAAGCAGGTCCGACGTACAAGTTGAATCATAATGGTATAAGGGCGAGGTGCTATTCTCAAACCCACAGCAGTCAAACTAGATAGTTATATCCATCGGTTAAAAACCTTGGCCGGCAACGGTTGGGAGGAAAATGGTATTACTTACCCGTTTCTGCAGCAAGCCTTGCACCTCGCCTGATTCCCTGGACCACATAGGCTGCAGGGTCGACCGGGTCATCAGCGCCTCGTACCAGACACTCAGGCCGAGGCTGAGGGTGAAGATGCCGGTGAAAACAAGGAGCCAGCCATGAACCTGTAACCACCTGCCTTGCTGCGGAAACACAATGACAGGTATTGAGCACAGGAACGTCGCGAAGACACAGATAGCGTTGGCCAGGGAAGCTGGAATGCTCCATGTTAGCACGGATAGATAGATTGGATGGTTAAGCTAGCTAGCTGCTAAATAAGCTGGGTAGAACTCACGGAGTATGGGACAACGAGGGATGAGGAGCAACCTCATGACGTTTTCGACGTTTCTCTCATGCTGGAGGCTGGCTTCGCCTAGTCGCGAGCCTAGAAGGAGGACGATGCCGCCTACGAGGAAGAAGAGGTCTGCGACGATGTATCCGGTTAACACTTTGTTGATGGTAAACGCCATGATGGTCTATGTGGGAGTGTCGTTCGAGGATATAGAATAGAGAGAGAGAGAGAGAGAGAGAGAGAGAGAGAGAGAGAGAGAGAGAGAGAGGATGAATCCATGTTGATATGCAACTGTTGGATGTGATTCTATTATTGGTAGAGCAGGGGATTGCTTGGTGGGTTTACAAGCATCTCGGCGGCTAAATCGTTGACTGACCTCGACCACTCATATTGTGGAATCGCGTTATGAAGGAGTTGGTTACTCCAAGGTCATGCATGCTGGTTTCAGAAGATCCCCGTGAGAGCAGAGTAGGAGTAAATAAATATTGTAATTATTCATCTTGGTGGCATTCGATAGATACCCATGAAAAGCCAGTATACGGGAAAAAACAAAGCTGGGAACGATATAAGACAACTTGCAAAGCTCCTTTTTCTTCAGACATGCCCTCATTTTTCCTTTCCGATCCGCTCGCTCGTTTTCTCTCCGATCAAGCCGACCGGTAAACATTGTAAGATGAGTAAAAATAAAAAAAGGGTAAAAGAGCACAATACATTGCAGTACATGGATGGGTAGAAATAGTAGATAGGCGACGAGACAAGGGGGGAAGAATAAGAAAGGGGCACACGTTTATCATAACGAGATATAGAACACCATAACCCCCCCACCCTTTCCTGGGTTTCCGATATAAACCCCCATCCCCGTGTGTAATATGTTTGGTGATAATAAGGAAAAAAGGGGGGAACAAATAAACAGGATGGAGAACAGAAAGATGAAAATGCGGGATAAAGTAGACAAGACTGATCTCAAGGGATCCACCGCTGAATGGTATCATATAACAGTTAATCATATCCACTGATGTCGAGGGTGTTGTTCCGGGAGAGAGACCCCCCGGACTGAACATGCCTGAGACGACGTGACTCGAAAAGGCTATACTCTAAAAGGATATAAAGGAAAAACAAGAGAGAGGTGATGGTGATGGTCGAGTAAGGAGGAGGGTGTTTCCGTGGTTTCCCTCTATACAGCAACACCTGGCGGGTCTAGGGATTCAGACCAAGGAAACGGGAGAGGTAAGAGTCGAATTAGAGATGAGAGGTGACATTTTTGATTCCTTTTAGTATTCTGCACGCGTGTTAGTGCTTTGTCGAGAGAGAGAGATTGCGGGTGCGGGTACTGACCTCCGGCCTGAGCTTGCTGCTGCTGCTGCTGCTGCTGGAGATTGTGGTAGTATGCTATCTGATTCTGCTGCTCGTTCGTCATGCCGCCTATGTTGTAGCCCGGATGGAGAGGACGGGGGGGTATGGCAGCCTGCTGCTGGGCGGCGACGGTGGCCTGGGCTACCTCGTCTGGCGAGTCTGCCGGGACCTCTGGCGCCTCGACGCCGTTTTCCGTCCCGGCGGGCTCTTGTGCGTTCAGACAGCGCTGTCCTCCGGGTCAGTCAATGAGTTCCCAATGGAGACGGGTCGAGGAGCGGGTGGTGGTACCTGAATGAGATTCTTGCCCTCGGACTGGGTGACGAGCGGCTGTAGCTTCGGGGTGGTGAAGGTGTAGACGAGACCGGTCTCTGACACGACGAGCAGCAGGACCTGCGTGCCCGTCAGAACAGACAGTTCGTATGCCTGAACTCCAATTAGCCATGCATCCATATATATATATATATATAAATATCGGTGGGTAAGATCTAGATCTACCTTCTTCATGATGCCAGCCTTCCGCTTGGAAAAGGTGATGTGACGACGAGACTTGTCCTGGATGAACTTGATCTCGATCTTGCGACGCTCACGGCCGGGCTTGTCGTCGTCGTCGTCGTCGTCGTCGGCCGCAGGACGCGGCCGCTTGCGTGAGTCGAGGGCTGCAGAGCCATTGCCGGTCGGGGGGACGAGGTCGTCCTGGGAGGGCGACGGGTTCTCCTGGGGCACCGCGGCGGCGTCGGCCATGGCGAATGCTGCAATCAGCGAGGGTAGAGTACGGTCGAGTGCTGGCAGACGAGAGTCGCTGTCCTGTTTGGCGTGTTGGATGTGCTGCTGCGTAGCTTGTTCCCAAGAGGTATGATGTTTTTTGGCGTTGGGCGAAAAGTGAAGGTCGACCGAATCGAGTAACGCGCTTTTGGGGGGGGGGGGAAGAAAAGAGGAAGAGAGTGACAGGTTTGGGTAAGGTCGGGAAAAAAAGAGGGAAGAAAAGGGAAAAGAAGGCTGGAAGAAATAGGAAAAGTCGCACTCCCGGTTTGGGTTTTCTTGGGGGGGAAAAGCCAGAAAGGGGTGGGCGGGCCCTCACCGCCTGCCTAGTTCTGACACGGAAGATCGTCGGCGCGGTTCTGCCGGTGTATCGCCTCGCTTTAGCCTCCCGTCGCGGTGTATCGTATTACGGTGGCGTTTCTATTGTATCGACACTTTATGCCTATTTTTAGGCCTCGATCTTTGATAATCAGAGCAGCCGAAGAGTGCTCTCTATATACGACAGTAATACATAGCAGCGTGGAGTGCTGAAAGAAGCAGAGGAAGATCGACGTTTCACCAGCTGCGCCTCCTGCTGAGCGTGCAGAACTCTCAAACACGCCAGCCTCGCCTTCTGGAAGCGCAGGATGACGGAGACACGGGAACTAGGCCGGTTTCGTTCCAAGGCTGCTCTCGACTCGACTGGATCTGCCCAGGGTCTCCCTTGTCTGCGACTTTCGTGGGCCAGTGATCGGACCCTCGTATCCTGCGGCCTGAAGCTGAGTGTCGCTAGTGGCGCTTATGTAAGTGAATGGAATAACGTATACCCGGTATGTCCTTAGTCAGCAGCATGTAGAGGTCAGTTTAATAGGTTTATGACACTTGAGATCTTGATAATTGGTAAGAATAGCGTTTGATGCTCCAGTTCCACTTTGCCACATCTCCATCACATTGTTAAAGGTTGAAAATATATACGCTCTCACCCAGAAACAATGGGCTGTGCAATCTACTGACATAGATAATCGGTCTGCGAGAGCGTATGCGTGTATGCTTTGCAGGGCTAGGTACCGAGCCTCTTCTCAAAGGCAGAGAGCGGTGATATGAAATGTGCTTCGAAGCTTATATCAGGCATGTCTAATGTGAGCAGAATAAGGTATCGGAGAGAGCGAATTCTGGAGTACAGAGTTCATCTTTATATAAGGATAGAGCTGGGATATACATTATATACGTACGAGGCAGATACGAGCATTACGTGAGCAGCCATCTTGGCTGTTTCTCTTCGCTGCCAAAATATCAACCAGACGAAGGGTCTCGATGAGATCTCACTCTGAGGCGGCTGCTTCAGCGTCGACACTGCCAACTCCCTGATGGTGAAGAGATAACATGGGCCTTCGTCGCTCACACACCAAGTCTCGCAGCGGCTGTCGGCAGTGCAAATCCCGCCGCATAAAAGTATACATAACCACACCTTCAGACTCTACCGTACAGACCAGATGTTATTAGTATTAGATAGAGACTGATCGAAGGAGGGATACGCTATAGTGTGACGAGAACCCTCCGCAATGCTCTAACTGTGCTCGAAGACAGATCGAATGTGACCTGGTGACCCGAACTCGGCCAGCATTGCCTCGACCTGCCTCCAACGCCTGTAGTTTCGACCGTGGTGACACGGCTTCAAGCGCTCCTGCAACACCAGCAGCGACAGCGTTGTCTCCCCTTGAAATCGCCCCTGCAGCTTCATCGGGGCCGAACGGTGCGGCCTTGGGGGCCCCCAGTCCGTTCGCGGCGGCTAACATCCCAGACCTCGAGCTGCTTCACCACTACACGACCTTCACGTATAAGACACTCCCTTCCGGCGCAGCAGGGGCACACCACGAACTATGGCAAATCCAAGTCGTCAGACTGGGATTCGAGCATGAGTTCCTCCTTCGAGGCATCTTGGCCGTCTCTGCCTTGCACCTTGCCTCGCTCAACCCGGCCCGGCAGGAGGAGCTGGCCCTGCGTGCTTCCGCTCACCAGAGCATAGCAGTCCAGTTCTTCCACCAGGCGCTTAACAGCGTAGACCCGCACAACTGCGTTGCCATCTTTGCCTTTTCATGCATCGTCGTTGCTCTGACGTTTGCCACCCCGAGACCTCCCCAGGTCGGGGCTGGAGTAGGCACCGGCATAGATACAGACAGTCGTATACAAAAAGAGATATTCGACTGGTTCTATATGGTCCGTGGCTGCAACTCGGTGGTCCAGACACAATGGGAGCCGCTGTCGCAGAGCTTTCTTGCCCCGCTACTAAAGAAAGGTATGATACACGAGACCGCCGCTGCACACGACGTATGCGATGCGGATAAGGTAGCGGAACTATTCCAGCTGTGTGCTGGTGCGCCCGGTGACCGTAGCACAGATGTAGGCACGCCAGAAACGGCTGGTTCTAGCGCCGGTCGTGCTCGGGACCGTGAAGCATCCACTGCCTACACCTGGGCTATCCACGAGCTTGTCAACACCTATACCCAGGTCTCCGTGCTGATGAAACGGGGACAGGACTTCGTCCCCGCTATATTCGTCTGGCCCATAGCTATACCGCAGCATTTCCTGGTTTTGCTGAGCGAGCAACGGCCGGAGGCTCTGGTGATTCTAGCCTATTACGCTGCTCTCTTACAGCGGGTGGATGACCAGTGGTATATGCGTGGATGGGCGAATTACCTTGTCAATTCAATCGACTCGACGCTGCCGGACCAGTGGGCGTCGTGGCTTAAGTGGCCCAAGGAAGTGACGGCGGTATCGTGAGCTAGTCGTGCAGTTGTTATCACTGTGCGCTACCACCCTTAATACCAGGCTTCACCCCCCTTTTTCTGCGTCCTATATAATATATTAATTACGATGATACGAAGTCTCTTCCGACTGATGCAACCTTTTTCACGTATAAGTTTAATCATGTTTCTCGTCTCTAGAAAGAAAAAAGCCAAACGTTTAGAGCAGCCTCAAATAGGACCAGCCTCCTGGAGTTGCAGACACACATCCCGCTCATTACCTAAACTAGTCATATTCACATTCCGTCTCGGCCTTCTCGCCTTCTTCTGCGCCGTTATTCCACCACTGCAAACAAACTGGCTTCTGGATCTCCACGGTCGACTTGGCCTCAGTGCCCACCTTCCCAGAAGCAGGGTCAAGCGTAAACACCTTGATGTTATTCGAGTCCTGGCCCTCAGTCACGAACCATTTTCCGCTAGGGTGGATACTCATGTGTCGAATATTTTCGACTCCGCCGTTGAAAATCTCAAGAAGCTTCAGTTTACCGGTCATATCGTCGATGGTAAATGAAGCGACAGAGCTGGAGCCCGGGAAGATCTTGTCCAGCCTATTGGAGGCGTACAGGTGTTTGCCAGAAGGCGAGAGGATAAGCTCACCGGCTGCGCCTGTCTGGCCGTCTGGAAGCGTAGACATGGTCTGTACCTCTGTCAGCTTGATGGTCTCTGCCGTATATTCGACGGACAGAACAGTGACGGTGTTGGAAAGCTCGCCAACGACGTAGTAGAACTTTGGCTTGCCTGTGGCAGGGTAGAGAACGCCATGTCGCGGTCCAGTGCCAGCCTTGACCTTGGAAGGCGGCGCAACGCTGAACTTCAGTCCGCTGTCGACCTTGAGGATGCGGATCAGGTCTGAGCCCAGGTCGGGCATGAGGACAAACTTGCCAGTTGGATCGAAGAGGACTTGATGTGGGTGAGGAGCATCCTGACGATCCGGTACTTTTCCTGGAGCTTCCATTTTGAACATGAAGTCTCCAAGATGCTTGAACTCTCCGGTTTCCTTGTTGGTGGAGTATGCCGAAGCACTGGCGGAACCACTATGGCGATATTAGCATAGCAGACACATATACATAGTATAAACAAAAAAGAAAAAAGAAATTCCGCCATACTAATTTGCAGTAATAATCACAGGCTGCTTCGGGTGCATCTCCAAGGAGACAGGTCCTGCGAGCCCCTTTATGGAGCTCAACTTCTTCAGCTTCCCATCTTGCGCGATAGAGTAGCTCGTCAAGGCGTTTTCAGTTGATGTCTCTTCGATGGTATAGAGCAACTTCCCGTCCTTGGAGATTTCCTGCCACGACGGGGTGCTGGAATCAGAGTTGTTGCCGATGATCTTCAGGGCGCCGGTCTTTGCATCGAAGCTAAGGGTTGATATGGCGTTGGCGTTGGTGCCAACGAAAGCGATATTCTGCGACACTACTCCGGTCGTCAGCAGTCCTGCCTGAAGCAGCGAGAAGAACGACACAGGCTTCATGGTGGGTAGCAGTGGGTGGTATTTGGTCAAGCAGAGTAAGGGTGACTACCTATCATAAAGGTAAGAAGCTGTGCTTTTTTTTGATCAACAAGAAAAGGGGGAGGCGGTTATATATAGCTCCTGAGGGGGGAATATCACTTACATACTAACTGGGTGCAGAATGTTCAGTGTATATCTTTTTGTTTTTGTTATACTACATGGTAAATCTCCTTCACTTGCAATAAACGCCAGTCAAATAGCAAAGCCGGCATCTCACTTCTTAGGCGCTGACTTGTGTGGCAAGGGCCAGCAGCTTAACCATGAACTTGGGCCAATCGATTGGGTTCGGTGAATTCTTGTCTTTGTGTGGAGTTGCGGGACCATGCAGAGCCATCGATAGTGAAGTTTCAGGTTGGTTTCATCATGGAGCAGATACTTCAGTAGGATATAAAACAGTCATCGTGCACTTGCAACCCCTGAGTCTTTGTGTACTCAACTCAAGGCTTATATGTGATATAGAGCGTATTTTGCGGACGACTGACACATAATTATATGTCGCCGGAAAATGGTGGCTCTGGACTATTTGATAACTGATGGTTATTCCTACTACAAAGCTTTTGAAATCGCAACTCTTCGACGAGCCTCTCTTGCAGTGAAAGCACCATTCTCCTGCGGCACGAGGATAACAGGCACATCAGGCGTGTTGAGTTAATACCCAAAGCCATCTATTACAGGGACTCAGGAGGTGAAACAGTTACTTTGAACTGGCTTGTCCATGTCGTCCCACTTCTAGCAACCTATCCGTTTATTCAGCGGCCCCAGGCCATGTTTATAGGAACGGGAGAAACACTATACGGCTAATCTGAAGATGAAGCGGCGGCAATCTTTAATAGTAAACGTCTTGGAAGAACTCTAGTTGAAGACTTGCAATCAGAGTATGGATCAATGTTTGCGGTCAACATTTACCCCTATGAACACGGCAGATATCGATCCAGCCTGCTGATGTGCAGACGATGGAGTTGGACAGCGATGATGCTTTCTGGTGTGGACCATGAAGATGATATTTTCATGGACAACGGTGAGAAGATACATAGCAAGTCTTCAGGGCGAACCTGGGCGGGTGTCCCGAAGACGTCAACCCCTTCGAACAGCGGGAGTATGAACATCTCATCATGACCCCCTCGCGATGGATTCTTTTGTGTGGCATAAGGATGTGTCCAGGAGCACGCTTACATCTCGCACCGGCGCTGTGATCGGAGAGGACATCCCTGCCACACAGCATAAAGCGGTGACTACTCCCATCTTGAGCCCGTCGAAGAGTGGCTTAAAGCAGCTTATTACTGTAAGTTTGTTGTGAAGACGAATGTCAAGAATGTTGGTGTAGATGTTCGCTGTATCTTATGAGTTCTGGCTTGGAAGACTATGGACTACTTACATGCTGTAGTCAAGCGCTCCCAAGCGGACTTCTAACTAGAACGCCAACATGCTAGGGAGGTCAGAGGCCTTAGGGCCCAAATAGAGGACCTTGAGTTATCACTGAAATATAACAAGGAGCTAACCTAGTCCTTAATAGACAGGTTCATACCATCTTAAAGGAGCCTACCTCCTAGTAACGCTGTCTCTCCTCACTATCTTGACATTCGTCTTTCACAAGGCAGGCTTACATTTACGTTTACCTCGTCTTACTTAGCTCTTGTCTTTAATGACATGCGCTTCACTCCGCTATAGCCTTATCTCTCACTCTCTCAGTCAGAAATTTCGGGTTGGTTTCATGGTTAGGGAGAAGACGTTGCGAGAAGTGGCTGTAGGATACGGTTTAGAGCTGATGTTTAAACAAGAATAATGGTTCTATTGTAGCCTTTACAAAACTGGATATATCTTGGTACTCTTTAATTACAACATATATATATTCAACCTTCATTACGTGTGGTTCCTGGGACAAAGGACCTAAGCCAGCGATTTCCTGAATTCCATAGCTTTCCTACACGATTCGTATATGGGCGTCTCCTGCCAGAACTCTGCTCAGCGTCATCATAAGGGGCTAGTAGATCGGTAGATGCGGGGTTTCTCATCGTACTCTGTGGACTAGGACTCGATCGAGAAGCTATAGATGTTTCGTTCCCGATGTTGGAAGCGTTGGAGGCAACATCTCGCTGTACCAGACCACGGTGACCGGCGACTTGTTCGGCAATCAAAGGGGTAGAAGTTCTACGTAAGCTAAGTCCGCTTGATCGTAGAGCTTGCCGTGGCTTCCAGTTAAGGTCCCTCGGCGAAGCTTGTTCCTTGGGGTCTGTGAGCTTCCTGTTGTCGAGGCCATTTGCTGTGGGCGCTGCTGCCTCTCCGGGTGTGCCCCATAGAGAAAATAGGCGTCGATGCCCCGCTGTGACGGAGGTGGTGCTCTTCCGTCGCTGTCGTTTCAAAGGTCGGCGAGAAAATGAAGGCGAGTCGGGAGTGAGGAAAGCGGAGCGGACAAGAGGCTCTCGATGGTCATCAAGGTCGCCCTCCTGGTCATCTCGAAGTTCAGCCCATATCTCTGCTGCCTCTAGGCCCGAGTTGGTAGCGCGTCTATGTGAGAAGGTCAAAGTACGGTGAGGGTGGTTGAAGGGGCTAGACTGTTGTCGGTGACGGGGTGTATGGAGTAGTAAAGGCTGGCGTTCGCCCGGGTGTGACTCCTCGTCACCGGGGTATGTGAGATCGGTGTATGACGTTGGCGAGGCGTTTGATTCTTCCATTAAACCAAGACCGGGCCCGATAGCGCTTGTTGGAGGTGGCACCGCGGCCTGTCCCGGATGTACCGAGGACTCTTCTAATCTCCATGAGAGACAAAGGACTCCAGACAAAAGTATAACGGTGCCGAGGGCTATCAACCCGGCGTGCACTCCCGAAAGCTGCGAAGTCTGGTGGAAATATATTAAGCCGTCTAAAATGGCAATTATGTTGTATACGCAAAAGACAAAGGGGTATAGGACACTAGTACTGCACAGTTTCAAGCCACGGTGCATATAGTACATCTGAGTCAGGGCTAACGCAACGAGAGCAGCTAGGATGATCCAAGCCTGCCAGCGGACAAATTGGTTCTCCTGGTCGGAAATCGTCCGTACTACCAGTTCGACAGCCGACTTTGCGAGAAGCAGGCAGTGAGCCGACAGAATGCCGCTAAGTGTACCGTATATCATCCCACGGAGCAGCTTTATTCTGGGGCTGTGGTGTAAATGCGGAGACCAGATGGACATGTAGCCCCATGGCTGGCCAGGAGTAGAGGATACCTTCAAGGCACGGGCTCCCATGACTAAAAGCAGAACGACCACGGCGGTTCCAGCCATCCAGTGGAGGAATGGAGGTCGAACAAGGAGCTCAAGAAGCTGGTCTAAAGTGTGTGCCGGTTCACCAATAGCTCCAAAGGTCGCAATCAGAATAGCGCCAGCGCATACTAGACATGTCCCGATTACCGAGTACCGTGTGAACGGCTCGCCTAAAATCAGGGTTGCAAATATGGTATTGAAAACAAGGCCAGACTGGAAAAGGGGGAAGGGGGGGATATGTTAGGGTCACAGTTCGAAGAAATGGGAAGGGCATGGAGACGCACTGCTTGCAAGGTGGATAGGACTGGTAGAGGTAGTGTCGTAATCTGTATAGTGCTCCCAACGATATTGGCACTGACAAACATGAACATTCCGACCTAGTTGCGTCCGTGATCAGTCCGTCAGTCCTTATAGAGGGTGTCCATGTCCACGAACCTGCCATCTTCTCCGTTTAAAGGCTGGTCTGCGTGTATCATAAGGAAACTTCTCATCTTCAAGCATATGCGATTTCCGCTGCAGTGTAAGCCCGACGGCCTGTAAACTAGTAGATATCACTCCGACCAGCACGCCGACCTGAGTCCCGTCGCAAGTCAACAGATCAGCAGGAGCTCGATAACACAGCTCCGAACAAGGGCAAAAAAAACAACGACATACTATAATGCCCCCTGTAGGTGACAGGTGACCGAGGCCCATCTCGAGTATCCCCATGCATTTGTAGTCAACGCGAGCAAAGGGAGGGAAAAGAAAACCGGTGAAAGCTAGAGATCGTAGCGGTTGGCTACTGTCTGGCGAAGGACATGGCGGGAGGGTTCGAGAAAGCGAGGCCGCGCGAGAACACCGAGATCTAGTTATATATGCAAGCAGAGTGAGACAGAAAGCGCAGCAGACGGCCGTGATGGCATGGCCGGGTGATTAGCTGCAACCTGCGCAAGGGGTGATGCGGTCGTTTGGCCTTCTCTTGCGTTGTGTTGGTGGTTCGAAGGGCGAGTCGCTGGAATCCGTGGTTGGAAGAAGAGTTAAGCAGGTGACGCTCCACAGACTTCTCCATCATCATCATCGTCAAATCTCCTTTCATCTACCAACAACCAAAAAGCAACGAGCATCCAGACAGCCTGACAACCAGCGTTTTCTGCACTCCTGACCAGCTGTTGTCGGTAACTACGTCGTCTAGGAGGGTCTCACCGAGGTATGCAGAACTGCGTCACTGTTTACTGTTGATATCTCTCGCTGACAAGCTTGTCGTTGCCTTCAGCTTCAAACGCCCTATTGAGATACAAGCATCCATTGCATTCAAGATGTCTCAACGTCATGCTCTTTCAGACGACCAGGTATGTTTCCTGTGGCCTTTTTTTTTGCCTACTTGCAGTGGGGAATTGCTGATGCCGGATATGTTCATCGCATTAGGTCGCGGGTGAGCTCCGCAAGATGACCGCCTTCATTCGACAAGAAGCTCTCGAGAAGGCTAGGGAGATCAATCTCAAGGCAGACGAGGAGTTCGCCATTGAGAAATCGAAGCTTGTACGACAGGAAACTGCCGCAATCGACCAGCTGTACGAGAAGAAGTTCAAACAGGCCAGCATGTCGCAGCAAATCACCAAATCCACGCTTGCCAACAAGACTCGTCTACGGGTTCTCTCTGCCAAACAGCAGCTTCTGGACGAATTGTTTGAGCGTGCCAGAGGAGATGTCACTTCTGCTACAAAGGGGAAGAAGGGCGTCAACTACGAGAAAATATTGGCCGGTTTGATTCTGGAGGGCCTCTACGCTTTGAACGAGAGCAAGGTGCAGGTTAGAGCCAGAAAGGCTGATTATGCCACCGTCAAGAAGGCGGCCGAGGCCGCTTCCAAGGACTTCAAGGACAAGGTCGGAAAGGAAGTCACCGTCGAGATCGATGAGAGTGAACCGCTTGCTGAGGATTCGTATGTTTTTTCTTTCTTCTCCCATCATCATAACCATCTACCAAAATGCGGATTGCTAACCGGAGTGTAATTTAGTGCCGGAGGTGTCGTTGTCCTTGGAAGCAATGGGAAAATCGAGTTCAATAACACACTTGAGGAACGACTGAGATTACTGGAAGCTGACTCCCTACCCGCTGTCAGAGAGATGCTCTTCGGCAAGAACGCAAATCGCAAATTCCATGACTGATTTGCGTCTCTCTAGTGTTCTCCCCCTTCCTTCTTCTCTTCCTTTTCTTGAGCATTGCGCGGGCTTTCACCCCACATTTTCGATTTGTATTCTCTAATCTCTGTCGCCATCATCACATATAGCTTATCTGTCAACCAGCCATTTTCTCCCACCTCAACGGGGCTCCCATCCCCTTGACCACTAGAAGCACTGCGGATATATATATATAGCTCTAGTCGCCGCCGTTCTTGGATTCTATGACCATTTAGAATATTGTTTGTATTTTACTCTATATCCACCCACCCTTCCCGTTTTG